GGGGGCAACAGGATTTTAAATAGTGGTGGGTGAGGGGATTAACTTGGGGCAGCTTGATTGTTGTACCAACTGTCTGTATATCGAGGTAGAGGACTAACACGTGGTACAATCCGGCAGGATAGAAAGAGAAGAGATTATAGGAGAAAAAAACAACTCAGCCTACAAGGCTGATACGTGAGTTTATTCTTGGAGGTTATATTAATGTCTTGTATTGTTCAAGTTGTCTCTCTCTCTCTCCTCTTCTATTTTGCCCTGCCACAGTATTTTAAAACCAGGCAATGAAAACATTGTTTTTTTTTTGTATGTTTAGTCTGAAGTTGTTGAATTATTTATAAAACATTTGCAAATTTGCAAGTGCCTCTTCCGTGGAAAATTAATGGAGGTTATTTTCATAAGTGCAGTGCTGAAACAAAAGATGTTTATGTTTAACAAAAGGCTGTATTTGTTCCTATTGTATATACACAAGATTTTATGCTGGATATAAGATTTTTCAGAAAATTCTTGGCATAGTTTTGGAATTAATAACAGGGGGGCACAGAAAAAATTTATTTCATAAGTTGAAACCCAAAGGGTCCAAAAGGTAAGATTTTTGTATTAAATATTGTTTAAATTTTTTTAAAAATTTTTTTTTCAATTTTTTTTAAAGATCAAAAATTGGTCAAAGTATTATTTTCCCCATAAAATGATACTGATTGTTTCAATCTTTATGTTTTTTTCAGTTGTTTAAAAGTAACTATTTTGTTTTACACCCTAAAATAACCAGTTTTAAAATCCATAAATTATTATGTACATTTAATTTTAACTTTAGGAACTTTTTTTAAAAACCCGTCAGCCAAGACAAAAATTCTTACAAAAACTACAAATAAATTTTAGATTTTTTTTTGTTCTTAAATTTAATAATCAACAAGGGGAAATAAGTGTTTTTTAAAAAATTCTGAAAAAAAAGTTCAGATGTAAACAAATAGTCCATTTTTGTGACCTGTCTATTTTTCAACCCAAATAAATCAAGTTTAAATTTTTATTTAATTCAATTTTGAAATTACAAAAAAAACAAACCATCTTTATGTTAAACAATAAAATGTATCTATGTACCCAAAATCTCAGTATCCTAAAACTTTGTTGTTTGCTTCAGTGGTGTTTGTGCCTGCATTATGGTGTTTTGAGGAGTTTTGAATGACAATAAATGCAAAAAATGAATCCATTCTTTAGGCATAAATAAAAACAGTACAGGTTTAAACACAAGCTAGTTATAACAGGAAGATTTTAATGCCCCATCTGATAACCTTTAGTTATTTAGAAGTGTAGGTTATATAACAAAGTTTTCCTTGAGCTTGAAGCCTTTCGTGACATTAAAAACATTATGAAATAATTATGTCCCCCCATTCTGATTTACACTTTTGAGAAGTTGGGCAGTTTGTGGGAGTAGAGTTTATACTGATACAGAAACACTACCCTTTGCTGTATAACCGGTTATATATATTTTTTGAATAGTGGTGTCAAACAAATTATTAAGAAATATAAGAAGCTTTAACATAAAGTACATATTTCATTAGATCTACTATAGTATTTTATTACTGGCTGCTAAAACAGTACAAATGAATTCTGCCTCAGACTTGAACCTACAACTGCTTACACATAAGATAAGTATACTAGGTAATCTGAGAAATATAATATACATTTGTATATAAAAAACAACAACAACAGATCACCCTTTGATTTAGAATTGCTCATATAAATAAACATGTTTATTTTTCTTTCTTACTGTACCTGTTGACTCTATTGATGTTTACTGAAATAAACCAGTAAGACTGTAAGCATTCATACCTATAAACTAGTCATGACAACCTTTACACTTTTAAACCCAGTTAATTAGTTTGTAGGATCATGTCAACCTAGTAACCATTTTACTTTCATGTGAATCTACCTAAACTATCATGTAAATGTATGAATGTTTTTACATTCATGTAAACCAACCAATTAACCATTCTACTTTCATGTAAATCTACCTATACAATCATGTAAATGAATGAATGTTTTTACATTCATGTAAACCTATACAATCATGTAAACCAAATAACCATTCTACTTTAATGTAAACCTACCTATGCAATCATGTAAACCTATTAACTATTCTTCTTTCATGTAAACCTACCTATGCAATGATGTAAATCTTTTTACCATTCTACTTTCATGTAAACCTACATATGCAATAACTTTCATGTAAACATGCCTATATAATCATGTTAACTTATTAATCATTCTGCTTTTATGTAAACCTACCTATACAATGATGTAAACCTATTAATCATTATTCTTTTATGTTAACCTATTTTTAAAATCATGTATTAAAACCTATTAAATATTATACTGTCATGTAAACCTACCTAAAAATCATGTTAACATAATCTACACTGAACAAAAGTTCTAACCGATCACCCTGAGTTTTCGCTTATATATGAAAAAGAATAATACCAATAGATGTGACTTTTATTTTATTTCGAAGAGAATGAAGACATTGAGTATAATAAAATTATAACATTTTCTATTTAAATAATACTTTATCGATATTTAAAAAAAAATATTTTTATGAACAGCCACTCACCTGTCTGATAGAGGCTTCAGCATTCAACATTCCAACTGCTACGGCATGATCCTGCATCGACATTCATGCCATGTTTTATGTTTTTTCACTTATAAAGTTAACAAGGATTTCTGCAATGTAAAATTTAATACTCACCACGCTCTGCACGAACATTTCGTGCAAAAATGTGTAAACCGCGCCCTGTCTCCCGCGTGAGTGCATGGAACCGTATTAAATAAACATATTCATTTATTCCATAATATTTAAATCTATGAAGAATTTATCTCATATGTGATAAATTCTTGTTTTTATGGATCATCTATTAGATAATAAGCAGGTTGTGCAACTATGCCTGTTTTGTGTTCTAGAAGTAACACAACAGTGTCTAAATATAATGATATATGTGCTAGATTTGGAACCTGGAAGTTGTAGGCCAAATCAAAAATATTTTTATGCAATGGGCAACCATTAAAAATTATTTATCTTTCCATATTTGGAGGTTACCCTAGTGTTAATTGACAAATATAAGCCTTCTATATTTATGACGACAAGTGTTGACTAAGTTACTGTACCAGAAACAAACAGACTAGTTCCTGGTATATTTATGATGGTAACCAATGATTGAGTTTTTGTCCGTAACTGTTGACAGAGTTACCATACTAAGATCTCCAAGACTGATACACAGTCTAGCTCCAACAGATTTATAGTCATAAATAATGACAACAAATGAGGTTTCTGAATTCCCATGCAAACTCACTCATTAAATCAAACCATAACCAGGTGTATGGCTAAAACTACAACACTTTGTCAGCATATGTCACATGCAAAATTGACTACCCACAAAAAATGCTACCATGAGAAATTATTAATGTTGTTTTCACATTAATTATAACTTGCCTGAAAGATTTTAAATGATCTTGGCACCATTTTGCAGCACTTGTATGTATATATAACCTTGAACCCAAAATTCCTATGTAATAAATCAAGTACATACTTTGAGAAATTCTTTGTCCAGACTGGTAAACGTTTTTGCATTATATTTATTAGGATTTCAAGACAACTAAACGATGTATTGCTTGCAAGTTTACTGTTCTTCCATAAAAGTCAAGCTCTTACTTGTTTTTGTGACAATTTGTTTGTGGGCATTTTTAGCTTGTCTGTTTCAAGAAAAAGCTAAGCTACTATTGATTGCTGAGTTTTCCTTGTCATGCTTAAACTTTAATGTAGCTATTTTCACAAACACTTTAAAAGATATCAATACGAAACTTGGAATACTTGCTTATTGTGACAAGTACAGTTATAAGACAAGGGACATATATTCTAAAAAGCTATTCCTTCTGACTATATTTTCCTATAACTTAGAATTTTGTTAAAATGGCTCAGAAAGTAGAATATGTAGTTTTAAAAAAAATGAAAAGGTGAAACTTAATTGGAATAATCATAACAAAACACAGTGTAATACAGGGGGAATAATCTCAAGAGTAATATTTTTAGGAGTTATATAACTTATATAAAATTTTATTATTGATATTTAATGCTCTCAAGAGGCAAGTGTAAGCACCATATGCAGTACACTTGTTATATTTTGTTATTTAAATTCCTTACAAAAATCTAACGATCGTTCCATATTTAAAGCTGGCCATATCCATTACAAAATTAAGTCACTTTTATTCATTTTCTCTTCATACTTGGATGCTTAGTTGACAGTATTATGACAGAAACCAGTGAGCTTTTTGCTGCAATGAATAATGCATGTAAGACACAAAGATTATATAGTAGTTAATCTTATGCGTAGTTTGACATAGTAAAGTACTAAACTGAGATACAACGTCAACTGATTAATGTTATATGTTAATTGTACATAATTACATATATAAGTGTTTGTTTCCTAAATGTCCTGTACTATTAAAGCAATACTTGAATTGTATAGAAAAACAATAAAGTTTTCAAAACCAAATTTTAAACTGCTATTTTTAGCTCATCTAGTAAGAAATGAAATATTTTAACTCTTAACCTGCTGTAACCAGAAATTATAAGCCTCCTCCGCACATCCATGCTGTCTGGTCAGCTTCTTTACTACTGGCTGAAAAATTAACTTTTTATTTTGATATCCCTGAATTGAAAGTGGACAGTTCCAAAATTGCAAGCTGGACAAGACCTTTAACCTTAGTCTACTTTAATGCGACCAGTGCGGACCAATCTTACCCAGCATGTCCTTGCCATGTGATCATGGTCTGCACTGTTTGCTATTCAGTCAATACATAATTTTGAAACTTTCCCAACAAATGAGAATAGTTTTGTCGAGATTGAAAGATGGACAAGTCCATTTAAGATATCTGGACCCGGGTGAAAGGAATAAAGTAGGTTTTGGTAAGCTTTAAAAGTGATAACTTATACTGTTCATTGTATGATATTTCAGAGTAGACAAGAGTGTGGGAGCACAAGTTTGTGCAGGTGACAACCAGGCTCAATGTTGCTCATCTTACCTACAATGGGATGTGGTCGTAGTAAGCAGCACTCTCCCAAACTATGTGATGAGGAGAGAGAACATAACTACAGCAAAGAGAAACATAACAACAAGAAAAAGAAATCTAAAGGTAACTAGAACTATCGCTGAATGCGATTCATACCCCCACCAATGTCCTTTACAGAAGACGACTTGGAAAGGTGGTTAAGGGAATAACTTTAGTGGCACAAATACATATACATAAAAAGAAATTATCTCTGGTGAAAAAAAGACTAATTGTACTGGTAATAGTATAAATATATACTGTTAAATCATGTTCGAAACAGTTACAAATAACCTTTCATTTTCCCAATGTACTAAACATTTTCTAAGTCAATTTTTGACCTTCAAGTGTGGCCTTGACCTTAAGCCGGCACAAGGGTAAGATGAGTTCTGCACATTGCCCAGTTGGGGTGAACATTTGAGTAAAGTTTGAAGAAAATCCTTCCATCAGTATAAAATTTATAGAGCAGACACGACATATTGTCTAATATTGATTATATGTAAATTTAAAGACTTAAAAAGGGGCATAACTTTGTTAAAATGCAATACAGAGTTATGAAACTTGACCTGCATATCTTATTAGTGACACCTTATATATCTTTTAAGTTTCAAGCAAATACCTGTGCTAGTTTCAGAAATATTCAAGTACATGTTAAAATTTAAGAACATTTTCTAAGTCAATTTTTGACCTTCAAGTGTGACCTTGACCTTTAGCCGGCACAAAAGTAACATGGATTCTGCACATAACCTTGTTGAGGTGAACATTTGAGTAAAGTTTGAAGAAAATTCTTCCATTGGCATAGGATTTATAGAGCGGACACGACATATTGTCTAATATTTGATTGTATGTAAATTTGAAGACTTAAAAAGGGGCATAACTTTGTTAAAATGCAATACAGAGTTATGAAACTTGACCAGCATATCTTAATTGTGACACTTCATATATATTTTAAAGTTTCAAGCAAATACCTTTACTAGTTTCAGAAATATTCAAATACATGTTAAAATTTAAGAATATTTTCTAAGTCAATTTTTGACCTTCAAGTGTGACCTTGACCTTAAGCGGGCAAAAGGGTGACATTGGTTCTGCACATCCCCTTGGTGAACATTTGAGCCAAGATTGAAGAAAATATTTCAATTAGTGTAGGACTTAAGAGCGGATACGACATACTGTCTAATATTTGACTGTTTGATTTTTGACCTTCAATTGTGACCTTGACCTTGAGCTGACACATGGGCAACATGGGTTCTGCACATCCCCTTGTTGAGGTGAACATTTGAGCCAAGTTTGAAGAAAATCCTTCAATTGGTAAAGGATTTATAGAGCGGACATGAAAATTGAGACGCACGGACCGACCGACCGACGGATGCAACAAAGCGAATCCATTATAGCCCCCCACACATTTTGTGGTGGGGGTATAATAAATGTACAGTGTAACCTCTGAAGAAGAGGCCTCTGAAAAACCAAAAAAAATCCTGTGTTCTTCCCAAAGAGTATCAATTCACTATGAATTTTTCCCAACCTCTCATAACACCTCTTAGTAACAACTAAAATCTTTGTCTCCCAAAGGGTGTTGCTTTGCAAAGGTTTTTTACTGTATGTACAGGGCAAGATAAATTGTAACATAGCTTAAGCTGTTTACAAATATTGGTATTCTCATTGGTGAAATAAATCTCATATTTGTTTACCAAAAAAATAACATTTCTGTCTAGAAAACTTGGAGATTTCTGTGAAAAGTTCCAGAGGTCTCTTATCAGAATATAGCAGAAACTGGATCAACATCTAATTACACTCATAAAACTAAACTGTCACTAAAAATAAACTATTTGTTATAATAATTATAACAAAAAGGTTTTAATGAAATTTTATTTTTTTTTGCTATTAGGATGATATACATTTTGAATAACTTTAAACATAATTATATTGTTTGGTTCTTTTCATTTTGGGTTCTGGATGTTAAATTGGATGACCTTTCACCTTCTTTTTAATTTTGACCTACTCAGCTTTCAAATTTTAAATTTTACTAAGATGGCATACTCATATAAGCCTAAAGTTTTCTAAAAACAGCAAAACTTCTATAATTATGTGACCATTTACTATATTTACATTAAGTTGATGGCACCATTACATTTAAGTAGCTCACCTGTCAAATAGTGTCGGAATGAGCTTTTATGATCACTCATTGTTTTGGCATACTTTGTAAGTCTGTTTACATTTTACTTCTACAACATCTTGTCTACCACTGAGCCAATGTTGATGAAAACATTGCAGAAAGAATATAGGGCGGGGTCACTTTTCATTATAAATATTTTTACCAGTGCAACATGTATTTTGGTGAGTTAATAAATATATGTCTATCATTCTTGTTAAATTTTAGTACCAGTTGTACAGTACTTTATTCATGTTATGATGGTGGGTATTTACTTTCAAAGTACCTGTACTTATCTGTTGTTATTATTGTTTTGCAAGTAATTGCCAATTTCTCAACAAAATATTTGGCAAAACGTGACAAGGGAAGAAACTTGTGCCAGGCACAGAACTCCAGCTACTCCTGCATCTGAACACTATAAGTGCTAAGTGGACACCATTATAGACAGTAATGAGACAATTCTCTTCTTGTATAACTCTGAAATACCAAATTCACAAACATAAACATTTACCCCTGGAAATGATTCAACGTGTTTTAATGATTTATTGCAAAAGCTTTAGCTAGTTTTTATAGCAGTGAAATATTGTATGATAATACCCATCAGCTACACATGCAGTAAATACAGCATAATGATAAAATCTATGTATTGATAAGTGTTATATTGTATTGTAATGTATCCATTTGGTTCTATTGAAGATGATATAGAAAGTTGAAACACCAACAAACAATCTGACAATAGGGCAATTAGGCTGAAGATAGAAATAGAATATAATTATATTACTATTCTCATTTGTTAAATACAGTTATTTAGTTACCCTAAACAAATCATTTCTCAGCGGATGTTCAGTAAAATGCCAAAGTTTGTGGTGGATTGTACCAAGGCTACTTTGTATAAAGATGATATTGAAATAATAATGTTCAGACCTAAAGTTACTTAGTATGGGAACATGTTCAGGCCTAAAGTTACTTTGTATATAAAGATAGTATAGGGAACATGTACAGACACAATGTTATTTGAATATAAAGATTTTATAGGTAACATATTCAGACCCATTAAAAAGTATGGAAACATGTTCAGACTCCAGGTTACTTTGTATAGGGAATATATTCACACTGGGCACTTTGTTAAGGAACACATTAAGTTCCAAGGAATCTTTGTATATGATAATTATAAAGGGAACATGTTCAGACTCCAATTAACTATAAGTTAAGCATTGTATAGTCACATATTCCGACTCAATGTAACTTTGTATATGGATTTTGTATAGGGAACATGTTCAGACTCAAAGTTTCTTTGTATATGGATATTGTATACTTAGGGAACATATTCAGACCTGAGGTTTTGTTGTATATGGATATGGAATAGGGAACAGGTCCAGACTCAATTTTACTTTCTAAATGTGTATTGTATATGAAGGTATGTATTATTTATAAAGAATGTATAGAGAATATGTTTGGTCCAAGGTTACTCTGCATAGAAAGATTGTATAGAAAACAGGTAAATGCAGTAATGATATTAAGTACAAGTGAAGGCTTAATATCATTTTATTGCATTTTATTTATTGTGATTAATTTCAGGTAAATTTTAGTTTGCTTTCAGTAGTATTTAATTAGCAAAAATAAAGGGAAAAATACAAAATCATGATTTGTTTAATGGAATAACCAATTGTACATTGAAAACTGCATGAAGATTTTAGCTCACAAATAATATAACAATCATTTGTGATGGCCTTTTCTTAGTCTGTATATCTGTCCATTGTTAACTTTCCAATGACTTCTCCTTTGAAACCACTTGAATAAACTGAGTGAAATTTGTATGCAATGTTCCTTGCATGAAGCTCTACCAAAATTGCTTAAATCATTCTGGTTTATTGAATACCTGGGTCAAAGAAGCTAAAAATGTTGATTTTTAAAAAGTTCTCTTCTACTAAACCACAATGCCCTGAGCTAAGATATTTTGTGGGTAGCATTATCTAGATAATCTTCAGCTGAGGTATTTAAATCGTGTCTCATGTTCAAATTTGGTCACACCCTTGGCTAGGGGACTCTTAGTATATATAGATGTTAAGGGAAAAAAACATTTATTATGCCTTCTTGTGTTAAAGCGCATATCCTACTTCTTAGATGTTTAACATGTAGGATTTACATAGTAGACATCTACTGAAATTATATAATTCATGGTTCGCTGGATGAAAAATTACTCAAATGAGACCTGTTTAACTACTTCTTCATTATTACATTGTGACCTTTACTAGTAATGGATCTCAGGAGAGCCATCTGGCCATGATGGCTCTCTTATTTTGTTCAGTTTTTCTCTAATGACCAAGAAAGTCTGTCTACTCCCTAAAAGCTTTAAACAATCTTATAGTCAGTTCTTGAAAGAGTTGTAACATAGAATGTCTCTTGCTATTTAACACACATGAATGTTGTATGAAGAAATACAACAGAAACTGTTGCAGAACAAAAGTTTTAACTGTTTAACAATGATTTTGTGCATAAGCCATTCCTTCCTTCAGGTATTTATAAAGTATAGGCAGCAGATCAATAGTTTTATACACTGTAAATGCTCTGATAGATCTGAAATAAATTGATGATAGACTTGAAACAATAAAATTTTTTTTTAGTTATCCAAATATACAGAAATGTCCCTACAAATGTGCTAATTATTAGACACACACAGATAGTTTAGGAGCTTGTATTTAATGTTGGATTATAACTGACATATTCATACATTTCTAACAATTTAGACCACTGTTCTCCCCACAGATCACACCTAATGAGTTTGACCTTTTAACTATCAGGTTTGTCACATCTCACAATTTTCAATTCTCATCATGCAGCTGCCTTGTCATTAGATGCCTATTCCCATGTGACCTTGTTTGTGGAACAAATTATGTCAGTATGTTTCTATGAAGTTTTATGTCTGTTGACAAGTGTATCCACTTGATGGAATAAGGAAATAGGTGTATACCAACTAGGTTTTGTTTTAACAGTATTTGCTATAGATCTGTTTAATGGGATCTCCCCTGATACTAATGTGCTAATGGGATAATCTGATAGTTTAGTGTCTGTCATATTTAATTACTATCTCTGTGTTCACGGTCTTAGATATTTTTAGTGGTGCAGTCCTCTACCAAAGTTGTTAGTGCACTCATTTAATCAAATATGGGCAGGGGGGCTCCCCTCCCCCCACCAAATTATTTGGCATGAAGCATTCTAGAAAAGTTTTTTATAATAATAATCTGCGCTGGAGTAAATAAACACCTCAATTACTGAATTATATATAATAGACATGTATTGCTTTTTTTTCAAATAATAATTTCTAAACAAAAATGTTTCAATCTGTGATTGAGAAAATTCCTGTCTTGTTAAACTATATATATTACACTTCATATAAGCCGCTTCATGACAAAACAAACAAAATGGGTTTGCGACCAGAATGGATCCAGACCAGCCTGCGCATCAGTGCAGTCTGATCAGGATCCATGCTGTTCGCTATCAGTTTCTCTACTTGTTATAGGGTCTGTAAGCGAACAGCATGGATCCTGATCTGGTCTGGATCCATGCTGGTCGCAAACGCTCTATGTTGGTTTTGTTGTGACGCGGCTCATATTATATTTGTATAGGTGAGAATAAGGAGAATAAGGAAAACAAGGAGACTGGCGGACAACAGAAGACAAAGTCTAAGATGTCACCTGTAAAAACCATAGTTAATTCATTAAAACCACCACCACCTAATCTCAATGGATCTCCCAAGCAGACTACCCTTCACTTAGATATTGAGTATCCAGCATATAAACAAAAAGAAATGGTAATGTATTACTCTATACAATGAAGCCCTAATACTATTTAAATTCTTAAAGCTCTTGGGTAAATAAAATGTATGTTTTCATTTAAAGGGACTCCACTGAGGTTTTTTTGACATGACAGGATTGGAAATATTAAGAGATTTGTGTACCATTTTATGTAGGTCAGAACCAAAAATTTGTGGCATTCCCTCATCCCTTTTCTAGAATAATCATTTTTATTGTTCAAACTGACCAAAAAGGGAAAAGCATAACTAAGTTTCCTCACTCAAATCAGGCTAAATTGCACTATCAGTTTTCAATTAAATTTTGAGTATATTTCTTATCATCCTTTGTAGATTTTTTTCTATGTAAATTTCAGATTTTATGATCTTGGAGGCTTTTTTATGTGTCAGATTTCGATGATTTTTATAGCTCGCCTGAATGTATATTTAAAGCAGCATGCCTCCAGATTCATGTTTATTTTTATGAACATTTTGAAAATGTGTTAAAATGTAAACGTATTGTGAAGTGAACATTAATTACAAATGTCACTTACAGCCCATGTATGTCTCCAAAAAAGGGTCAAAATATGCAAAAATACCTGTCACTGCATTAGTAACGCAGTGGAAATATGATCGGTCATTTATCGCACGTTATGTATATTGAAAATATTTACTTTTATCTTAATTCTATTTAATTTTTTTAAAATTCTTAGTACATTTTTCTCAAGTTCGTTTTTCATGAAATATTTTGGCTCATCTGGAGGCATGCAGCTTTAAGCTCACCTTAGCACACAGAGCTCACATGAGCTTTTAGGGTAGATGGCTGTCTGTTCTCCAAAATAATTTTGCGGACATTATAACAGCTTCATTCTTTTTTAAAACTAAACTTGTAAAAACTGGTATTGTTTTATTATTAATACCCAAATTTGAGACTGCTGAAACTATGTACAACTATGCATTTTCAACTCACTTAATTTCATCAAAAAAGGAGGCTGTGCCAAGTATTTTATCACTTTTCTTCAACAGATTACTAAAAGCATTTTTTGATGACAAAAATGTAAGATTCTTTCTATTTCTTTCACCAAATAAGCTAATTAATAGTGAACACACTTTCCCCTTTATATCAATATCATATGAGATCAGTTAGTTTTGAGAATAAATTACATATAGTGCAACACTTTGTAACATTTTTTATACCCTTACCAAACACCAGACTACATGTATGTTTGATTGGGGTATGAAACATATATAGGCTAGACTAGGCCAGACTTTTGAAATGTTTAGATGCTAGAGTAACGGTGTTAATACTGGTGTTATAGACATAAATTTATCTGGTATTTTCAGGATAGGTTAGCTGTTCCACCTAATAAAGAAGTAAAAGAATTTCGAGGGAAACAAAACATCAGGGTGACCCATAGTCAGATAGCCTTTTTTGAAATGCTTGACAAGAAGATTGAGCAGGTACAGTTTGCTTATTATATCTACATATATAGCATGTGATCAGGTACTGGTAAAATATTTAAATTATTTATCATCTTTTATGTCTTCAAAAGGAAAACAAAATTAAAAACTCATTAAAAATAGATGTCAGTGGGTGTGTGGTAAGTATGTTAAGTGACAAACCTTTATATATGAATTTTTAAAGAGATAACCTGGTAACTTTGTAAATAAACATTGAAGTTATAGGCCAGTAATTATTGTAATAATAACTGAACCTGGATGATACGGTATACATTTTTAGTTCACCTGTCACAAAGTGACAGGGTGAGCTTTTGTGATCGCTTTTCGTCCGGCGTCCGTCCATAAACTTTTACTTTAAATGACATCTCCTCATAAACCACTAAGCCAATTTCATCCAAACTTCACAGGAATGTTCCTTTGGTGGTCACCTTTAAAAATTGTTCAAAGAATTTAATTCCATGCAGAACTCTGGTTGCCATGGCAACCGAAAGAAAAAACTTTAAATATCTTCTTTTAAAAAACCCTAAGAGCTAGAGCTTAGATATTTGGCATGAAACATCTTCTAGTGAGTGTCTACCAAGTTTGTTCAAATAAAAGCCCTGGGGTCAAAATTGGCCCCGCCCCGGGGGGTAGGGCTGGGGCGAGTATCCGAGTACTCGGATAATCACGAATCAAAGTGAAAAATCGAGTTTGAATATTCGTAAGCCCAGAGATCGTAGATCGCGATTTAATCTTTTTATATACATTCACTGTTTCTCACACTCTTAAAATCGAGAAAAATATTATTTGAGTATAAATTATATGAAGTTTACCTAAATACAATTTGCCGGTTAAAGACCATGTAACATGATGCTGAGCTAGGAAGTAATTGGTTTCAAAAAACAAAACAAAAATACTCATCCAAAGAATAAAAACATAAACCTAGTGTATATTTTATATGTTTAATGTTTAGTATATTGTTGTTGTTGTTTTTTTTTTTTAAATAAACATGTTTTTATAACTAATGTACATGTTTTTATGGGTGTCTTGATAACAAAAGATTTGTGGTTCGATTTGTGAATCATAAGTGCTGAATCGTGGTTCGGATCGGATTGTCACTAATTCGATGATCCACACCCCTACCGGGGGGTCATTGATTTTCCCTATATGCATATAGTAAAAACTTAAAAATCTTCTTTTAAAGAACCCCAAGAGCTAGAGCTAAGATATTTAACATGAAACATGTTCTAATGGGTGTCTACCAAGTTTGTTTAAAAAAAAGCCCTGGGGTCAAAATTGGCCCCGCCTTGGGGGGTCATTGATTTGCTCTATATGCATATAGTAAAAACTTAAAAAATCTTCTTTTAAAGAACTCAAAGAGCTTTGGCTAAGATATTGAGCATCAAACATGTTCTAATAGGTGTCTACCAAGTTTGTTCAAATAAAAGCCCTGGGGTCAAAATTGGCACCGCCCCGGGGGGTCATTGATTTTCCCTATATGCATATAGTAAAAACTTTAAAAAATCTTCTTTTAAAGAACCAAAAGAGTTAGAGCTAAGATATTTAGCATGAAACATGTTCTAATAAGTGTCTACCAAGTTTGTTCAAATAAAAGCCCTGGGGTCAAAATATGCATATAGTAAAAACTTAAAAAATCTTCTTTTAAAGAACTCAAAGAGCTATGGCTAAGATATTTGGCATCAAACATGTTCTAATAGGTGTCTACCAAGTTTGTTCAAATAAAAGCTCTGGGGTCAAAATTGGCACCGCCCCGGGGGTCATTGATTTTCCTTATATAGCAAAAACTTAAAAAAAATCTTCTTTGAAAAAACCCAAATAGCTAGAGTTAAGATATTAAGCATGAAACATCTTCTAGTAAGTGTCTACAAAGTTTGTTCAAATAAAAGCCCCTGGGTCAAAACTGGCCCTGCCCCAGGGGTGTCATTGTTTTTAACTATATGTGTATAGTAAAAACTTAAAAAAAATCTTCTTTTAAAAAGCCCAATGAGCTAGAGCTTAGATGTTTAGCATGAAACATCTTATGGGTGTCTACCAAGTTTGTGCAAATAAAAGCCCTTTGGTTAAATTGGCCTTGCAACGTTGGGGGGTGGGGGTTGGGTGGGCCTATATACAGGTGAGCGACCTCAGGGCCATCATGGCCCTCTTGTAAATTAACCTGAAACAATGTGCGAGATTGAGTTATTTTAGGATAATATAATGTATGTCCTCTAATGACAATGATTCCATTGATCCATGTTGATGAAATTGGGCTTGGGTTGTTCCTTACATGAAGCTGTATCAAAATTGTTCAAACAATTCTACTCTGTGCAGAATTCTGCTTGGTCTTAGCAACAAAAAAGTAAATCTTAAAAAATGTCCTGCTTAAATTTCAATGTAGCATCATCTAGTGGTCCTGTGCAGAAGAGGTTAAAATTATTGCCCTAGTGTGTGATCACTATAAGAAAAGTCTTTAAAAATTCTCATGCTAGAAATCAAAAGATCTACATGTAGATGGTCTTATATTTTACAATCATGTAACCATTGTTTTAGTGGTCAAAGTTGCCCCCAACCAGTAGGGTCACATAGACTTTTTATAGAATCTTAATATTGTTGTGTCTGAAGCTTAAATATTAGGCATGCAGCTTTGACTAGTGAATCTGTCCAAATGTTTTATAAATCAGTCTCCTAAGACAAGTTACTTTGACTTATATGCAGGAAAGTAGCTTAACATTTCTCCCAATTCACACAATCTATTTAAAGGAAGAAATAAAACAGAGAGAACTCAAATAGAAAATGTGTTGGTATTTTATAGGGAAAGAACTAGATTTAATCTTTTAATGTGCTTCACTTGCAAAATGTGAATCATGGCTTTGTGAATATAATATTAAGGTAAATAAATGTATGTTCAAATGGTAAAATGAAGGTATTGTTTTATTTTACAGGGTGATGACTACCACTCAGAACACAGTATAGAAATTACCACTCCAGATGATAGCTAGACCATCATTACAACCACTCTGTGATCCTACATCATCATCATCTTCATCATTGTTAGTCATTCATGTTCCTATATTCATCATCACCTATGAAGATATCTATATATAAAGTGAAAGTGAAACTAACAAATATCTTTGTGATAAATACTAAAGGTCTTGATAAAGACATTACTCTAAGTGACGCAATATTAACATATATCTATATGTAGTGATAGTCCAATGAAGCATTCAGGACGGAAATGGTGTGTGTAATATTGTGGCTGTGAAGCTTTATCTTTTTGTAAAGCTGAAAGAAGTAAAAAGCATATGAGACTGTTTTTTGAGTTTTAGAATATTTTAGTTAAGGAAGGATATTGTTATGAAAGGTATTATATAATTTAGCCTAAAGTAAAGAAAAAAGTCAAAAAATGAGACCTGCAGTCAAAGTGACTACAGTGTGGTGAAAATCATAAAATGAGACCTGCAGTCAAGGTCATTTTCTATTGTGCTGAAATTCGTAAAATGAGAAATGCTATGTGGAGAGATTCATAACATGGAGACCTGCAGTTAAGATAATGATATCTTGCAGCGGCATTATAAACTGAGATCTGCAGTGAAGGTGTCATAGTGGTGAAAATGAGGTCAGCAGTCAAGATTAAGTATTGTTAAAGTGAGATACTGCCGTTGCCAACATTGACTTACACTCAACATTGACTTCACTCATCTGGAATATTGTAATCTGTGCAAATTTTTTTAACAAACAATCCAGTGTTGGTTCTAAATCTGTTGTTTTGTTATTTTTTATAGATGCAAATTTTTACAATAATGTTTTTGAAGACATTATGAAACTTGAGAGGTTGTGATTGTAAAGATCATAACTCTCATTCCTAACTCATCTGAAGATAAAACTGCTCTGAGATGAGGAGCTTTTATAATTACCTGATGTCTGTACCACTGATCCCAACGCTAGATATAAAGAAAATTTCTTCTCTAACTACTAGATAAAATACTGGACCAAACTCCACAAGAACGATTCTTGGAAAGTTCCCTTTTGCAAAAGTTTTTAAGTAGCTTACAGGAGTTATTTGAATGATGCCAATAGGGTGAAAAATGGCTGCAGAGGTGCTTTATCATATTGTGTTCTCCAGGAAGTGCAAGACCATTGAGCTAAGATATCAGCGTAGTAGAAGCGTAGTTGCCCTCAACAGCAAGTCATCTTAGACATCTTAACATTTATTGATAAGACATCTTAACATTTATTGATATGTTTGACATTGAAGAAATCTCACTGTATCTTAAGATTGTTTTAAATCAAAATTCAAACTGTATACCTGAAAAGTAGAACATTTTAACATTTATTTAGAAAACAAGTTTCAACAATGTTTCATTATAATTGTATGGATTAAGTTTGAGACTTTAGAAGCTCTCTCTGAGTTTAGAAGATTACAGGGTATACATTGAAACATGTCTATAGACACAATATATTTCTCTGACACAATAATATCAGTTTACACAATTATGTTCTTCAACTTCTTTGAGTACTTCTCTGAATATTTGCATAAGAATGAAACCATAAAGGTTTTGTATGTTGGTTCTTTGTTAATATATGTATCATATCAATACAAAAAAAACTCTGCTACAAAATGATCCTTAATGTAGCCTGTGCGTGTGTTTCTAAATGTGCAAGTTTGTGTGCATTTTAAAATGAATATTTGTTTAAGTGAATATTAAATTATGCTTGACAGCGTTTTGATTATTATTGCTGTTTACAGCTTTGTTTTACTTTTTTCATTAACAAAGATTCATTTATAAGATATAAATCGATTTTTACTAACCTATTTATATGTTACCTGAGCACACAGTGACTACAAGGTTTAACTTTTCAGTGTGCAGCATCCACTTAACACACCTGAGCACATTATTTAATTGATCTTTATCAGACTTTGTCAAAATGGTTGTGCCATTGAAATCATGAAAGAGTCGATTATCGGTCATGATTGTTAAAGAAAACAACAACAGGTCACTCATTACATCAAATAAAAGACTTGATTACTCATATGAAAATCTGGTTAACTCTGGTGGAACTTTGTTTGTTTGGTAGATTTTACAGCACACTAACACAATTTAGGTCAGAGTGGAACACTGTACTCAATTCTTAATTAAACTTGCTCAGAATTTCTGCCTAAATGATATTTTTAAGATCAAGGTAGAAGAATATGGATCTTGACTCTAGAGTCCACATGTTTTAACAATTCTTCATTTAATTTGCTCTCAATAGCTATCTTGATGATTTATGGTCAATTCTGAAGATGGGTAGAAAAACGAATAGGTCAACAGGTTAAGTTATAAATTTGTCAAACTTTGTCAAATTATTTGGTATTACTTTATGTTTGATTGTGGAACATAAGTGGTTAGTTGGCTAACAATGTATATGAATAATCTGTTCTTGGTCTATTCAAATTTCAATTAATATGTACTATGTACTATATACATGTATAAAAAGAATTTTTATAGTGTATATAGAGGAGACATATGTGACAGTTCCAATGAACAACATATTACTAGTACTTCAGTTAAACTGGTGTATTTGTAATGTATACATGTACATAAAACAAAAGTAAAGAAATATATAAGTTACAAATTTGATGTCACATGTAAGCTGATGTATGTGTTTATCTTTAAGCTGACATATGTATGCTCTGAATTAATTTGTCATTTTTTTTTCTTCTCACCTTTCGTGTAAAAAATATATATCATATTCTTAATTAAATTCATAGCTGGAAGGAAACTAAATTTATACATGTATGGTATACTGGTCCTTCAAAATTAACCTATACATTTGTCATTTCTTGACAGCATTATAAATTACTAAGAAGAATTTAAATGTTAACAGGCATGAAACAATTAACATGGACACTTTTAATACATGTAGACCAAGATCTATAGCTTAAAAGGTCAAGGCTACAAATAGGGGTCAAAGGCCCAAAATGGAGTCATTTTTGTGTCCAGTCCATTATTTGTCACTTATAGATTTAAACATTTTAAGTTTATCATAATACAGAGAGATTTAAGGCCTAAAATAAGTTGTTGTTTTTTTCTCTCTCTTTTTTCATGTCTGGCCTATAATTTTGCCATTCATTCATACACTTTTAAAGAAGTTGGCGGAAATGTGATGAGACCATGTCATGAACAGAAGACCCAGATCAACAGCACAGAGGTCAAGGTCACACATTAATATTAATGGACTAAATTTTAGTCTTATTTTGGTATCTTGTCTATTAACTAGGACATTTCTAAGTGAATTTGGCACAAATGTTCACTATGTAGAATCTAAAATTTTATTGCTAAGGGCACCTTTAATAAAACATCTTTCATTTGTTATTATTCTGTACTAGAGGTAGATTTGCACATTTAAAGCATAGGACCAATAAAAATTATGAAATTTTATTTTGCTTGCAATTACACTTGTTCATGTATCATATTCTTGACTTATTTAGATACCCGGTGTTTATCATTATAATTCCAACACACAATTATATTTCTGAGACTTTAGGATTGACCATTTTGTTGAAGTCTGAACATCAGTGTCATAAGTGCTTGGATTCTTCACAATTTAACCATTTTCTGATCTTTTTGTAACATTTTAAAGAGATCACTAAATTTTATGCCTTTGTTATTTTTTTATGGGAGCTTTGTTGATAAAATTTAATAATGCATTTTAAAACTTTGTACTTAATAATGTGCTGGACAATCATTTTGTAGGTCAGTACAATAATATATAAGCTGTTATATTTGTTATAATATTTTAAAGGGAAGATATTTCATCAGAGCAAAAGTCAATAATGTGAGATATCTTGGGATATCTGTAAATTCTTATTCTGAGTTGATAAAGAAAACTACAAGTGTTGAGAATTGTAATTATGTAGTAATATATGCATGTCACATCTTTTATCTTTTATGATTATCCATCTACACAGAACAAATAGTTTCAACAGTACAGCAATTTTAGTTCATACAACTCGCATTATGATAGAGTAATTTGACACAACATGAGTGACATCAGCAACATCAGATTACAGATTTTCAAAAAACTTGCTACTGGTTTGTGGGCATTTGTCCACTACTAATATTAAGATATCATCTTACCATACCTTGTTGTTTTAAATTTCAATGATGTAAAAGTTGTAGAATTAATAATTTTGCATTCCTTCTCATACTTGTTATGAATATATTACAATAGATTCAGCTGCAGCATTTATGTAATTGCTCATGAATAGTGTTCGTCATTTTTACATAAACAACTGTTATATACAAAAGTGATTTATAAAATTACAAATGATATAAGTAGTCAATGGCTCACACTTTTTTACAAGCTCAGTCTTTGTTTTGTATACTGATTTATGAAATTTGTTTTGTACTATAGAAATGAGATTTAATCAATTCAGAATATGAATTAAGTTCTTGTTCCGGAGAAAAGGTGCATAGTTCATGATAATTTGTTATATTAATATATTGATTTATATTGCAATATGAGAGTTAATGGGCATCACATTCTTTTTATACATGTTGTGTTATTCATTTATATATTGATATACTGTATGTGTTAACACATTTAACCTGCTGAATTATGTTTTATGTTATTTGCCCTTCTTTGCATTTAGAACAGTCTGTTCAAAGTTAAAAGGATTTCAATATTAAAATACAAACATTGAGCTACCAACAGTATAGAGCTTGGTCAGACTACATGGATGTACAGGCTGGCCTGGCTCTATACTGTTGGCATAGGTTAAAATCACATTAGATTTGAACCAATAAATGGTTATATACATTATATAATATATATAAAATGTCAGATTATGGTTTATATACATGCCCAAAGAGACTGTCTAAATGTTAAATGGCTACAGAGAAACGATTAATAATTTACAAATATTAAAACTGCTGAAATGCTGTAGGTAACAAAGGTATTTGCAACATTTTGTAGGTATAAGTGCTATCAATATTTATAGGTTTAACACTTGTTCTTGGAATATGTTACAAATCGCTTATATATCTTATACATTAGTTACAGTTATATAATATACAAGATATACATGCATATTGCAGCAGAAGACCTAAATTAAATTGCTGTACTATAAATTTTTCAATTTTTGTTTGTTGTTAAAAATCAATGATTTCAACACATAAATGCAAATAATTGTTTTGTACATTGGTATTTATAAACCCTACAACAATTTCTTTGTTCTGTGAAATACCTCTGTGTTTCTATAGAGTGCAATACAATATGTTCTATTTATTATTTATTGAAGTTGTTTCTTTGTTGTTTGTCAGCTGTTAAAGTAAGGAAAGTTTTTTTATTGAAGTTAAGTTTACTTTATTGTCATAATCATTGCTATATACATTGTATATGTGTGTTATTATGCATTTTAAACTGTTACATGGCACCAAAGAACGACACATTATTAATGTTTGTTTATCCCTCTACATAAAACTGGAAAAAAAATAGTAAAAAAGTTCCTATATACATCATATGTGGCAAGGTTCATATCTGTGGCAGGTAAATTCCATGAATTATTCCCCTTTAAACTGAAAGTGTGTAATTTTATTTTACTTGTATCTCCATAATAGTCTAAATGTATTCCAAGTGTATGGGATATAGTTGGACATTGTGAGTATGATGTTAATAAATCATGATGTAAACACTTCATTCTATGTCTATTGTATTGCATATCTTTATAAAAGATGTTATTTTTCAAATTATTAATAAAGTCATACTTTTGAAAAACTGTCTACAAAACCATTTATCATTTTTATGCAAAATTTCAATATAAGTACTGAATATAGGGAAGCCCATGATCAGACGGCTGGCATGTGCCAGTTCACTTTGGTTTACTTTAGGTACATGTAGTTAAACTATTTGCATGCATGCTTAGGTTAATTATTAAATTCTAAAGAATTATACTAAATAAATGCTTTATTTTATTTGTTACAGTTGTTATGTCATATGCTACATGTCAGTTGATTACATTTATATCATATATCAAATTCATGGCGCAGTTTAGATTACAAATGTCCATTTCACATGTAAAAAAAAGTCAGATATAAACATCCAGTTTGATGTACATGTTGTGTGTGTGTGTGTTATTAAATTAGATATCTAGTAGATATTAAATGCAATATTGATATGTGATCTGTTATTATTTGTTATTTGTGAGTTTAACAATGTATACATATAGAAGGTGCACAGATGTAAACTGTTTCAGTTGCTGAAATTAATGTTCTATTGTTTTATTGATTGGTCGTGTAGTGTAAATCTTAATTGTTATAAATAAATAATGACTTTCACTAGATACTTATCAACTAACTATGTGTGACTTCAATTATTTGATGCCATAAAATCACTGTGGTTCATATTAAGGGCAGGCATGATTTTAGCTAACTGGGCACAAAACGTTTTTGGGGGCGCAAGCCCCCAATGTAATTACGATAAATTCAGCTTACTACCCTTTGAACGCGTTTAGGCTATCTAGCTGCGCTGAGCAAAAATAGTTCCAATATTTTGCCATAATATTCAGATCATCATTATACCGTATCTATTTTGAAATTGACTGGTCATTTTATTACTAAATTTTAAATCCTTCTATCACAAAATTACATATACCATTGCTTTACGCGATTTGAATATTACTACGCTAGCAGTCGATAAAAATTTAATGAGAACCAGTTAATTTGTTCTACCTTCTGGTTCCCGATGCACGAGAGCCAAAGTACTTGCATACATTTGGTGCCAATTTTATCAAGTCATAAATTAACTAACTATCATAGAACACAATAATTCAGGAAAAATGGAATACGATTTTCATATTAGATAACTTTCAAGCTTAAAATGGTTAAAAAGTGTGAATGACAGAGTAAAAATTTGTATGCGTATGAATACGAACTATATTCCCTCTGACGTCATTTTCCCGAAATCGCCATCTTGGTCATTCCGAGAAACGGCTGAGAAGATTTGCTATCAATTACGAAGTCCCAGCTATTACGTTGATATTTTGGTTGCAATCTATTCCGTATAAATAATCAAGTTTTCTTCACAATCTGGTAAAGCTATTGATATATTTCGCTTGATAGACTGCAAATTTAAGTGCATTACAAACTCGGTCCTAAAACGTACTCGGCCCCGAGTCAGCTCGGCCTTTTTTCAACTCGGTCCACTTTTCAATTTATTAACATATTGGTTTGTTTTATCACTCTTTATTGTTGAAACCACATAATTAATATCTGGACTTATTCAGAAACATGGAAAGATATTTTCTTAAATTATTATTACATTTTTGACTACTTTTTGAACACATCTCTATAACTCAATTTACTGTATTAGCTATCTAAGCTAAACAAAATAGGCCCAAAACTTGTCATGGTATACAGGTAAAATGTTATAATTGGTGAAAAATGATAGTTTTCAATTTTGTGATCATGATTTTTGCAAGCGACTAGAGGTACTGCCCCAGCCCTGTAATGAATAAAATCCTATCCTAGAGGTCCCAAAATTTTAAAGGACTGGTAATAATTATAATTGTTAAATACAATATGACTCAAGTTCAGATATACTTATTTCATACATGTAGATCTGATTTCCACAGTTTTACCTTCATCAGATGTAGGATTTCATATTTATGGTCAGTCCATAATTTTATAGATTTTTTATTTGTAAATTTATAGACATTTATATGAAAAAAGTAGTTGTATTAAAATTCAAAACCACAGGTCAATAATAATAAGATTACTGATTATATTATTAAATATAACAGATTCCAGATAATGTGAGTATCGGCGTATTTTACGCTTTAAAATCAACTAAAAACGTACAACGTTACCAATTTGTTGTGTTCATTTACGCACTCTGTAAATTTATTACGCAAAGAATGTAAATTTGAAGCGTTTTTGGTGTGTACTTTCATTTTCGAAACAGCTGATTGACCGCTTCCATTAACAGTTGACTGTGTATCTATTTCCAATTAATACCCGTCAAGATACTTTCAACTATTTTTCTCTGTAAACCAGTCGACCAAATTACGTCTTTATTGCTTAGGTGCTTGATAAAACAATTGTTCTATTTTCTTGATAATTGCAAGGATTTATTAATACACATGTAGTGCATGGTTGCTTCAAGGGCTAATCAAATTGACATTTTTTTCACACAAAATTTTACTCGATAGATTTTTGATCTATTTAAATTTACCCCCACATTCTGGAAAGTGGGGGTAAGTAATTACCCCCAGTGTCAAAAAATTATCTGGAACTCTGTATAACAGTATGGTAATATTTAGAACAATTTGATGACTATCAATTTTTACTTTAAACAAAAATTTAAAAGTCATCATACACTGATGAAACTGACCTCATTACCTTTGTTGATATAAACTATCAATAAAAACAACTTGTCTTTAGCAGTGGAATTTTATATACATCATATTAAGTCATCATTACTTTTATTTTTTAACATCTATATGATTATTATACTATTAGTATTCAAAAATTTTGTTGATGGAAGTTTATGAATTGGTAGAGGAAGGAATAATTAATCATGGCAGTGGCTAGCAGTATGAACCAGTATTGTTTGACAAAAGTGCTGGCTGTATGCGAGTCGCATACGACTAGCATATACTCACTGTTGAGGCTAGCTGTACAGCATTTTAAAAATGAGTTGCCTAAAACAATTATATGCAAACTTGTTTTTCTAAAAGAAGATTTTATTGAATATCATATACAATTTCAGTCAATGCGAAAGTCAAAAAAAAATTCCTGCCGCAAGGACTTGAATCCTTAGATTTATTTCCGGCCCTGATGATTTTTTACCGGCCCGGACTCTGAAAGGTTTTTTTTGTAGGGATGGGGGAGGGATATTGCCATAATTATAAAGAAAAATATTTAGCATATATGAATTGTCAGACTCAACTATAAGATACTATGAAAAAAATATACAGAAACATAATTAATAAAACATTAGCATAATTCACAAGAAAACAATACATCTTTCAAAGGTTTAATTTTGAAGATTGGAGAAAAAATATGTTTTGGTAAGGAAATTATCAAAGACAAGATGGTGGCTTACATTACTTAGCAAAAACTGGTCGTATCCTGCGGTGATTTTGGTTATCTTGGTCTGTGAATACAAGCAAAAATTAAAAAAAATAGATTGATCTTGGAAGCTTTGCATATTTTAGAAGGCCAAAAATTGTTTCAAACTGGCTGAAATTTTATTTGGACATGACAACTGACTGTATCGAAATTTATCTCGGCCCTACTGATTTTTAGTTGGCGAGGTCCGAGGACCGACAGTCTTTCGCACAGACTGCAATTTACAGTTGGTATAGTAATTTTTAGTGTTTGATGATCAGAAGATTTGTTTTCCTTCTGAAAATCATGGAGTTGAATAATTTAAATCTGTGTGAAAGCGCAAAGAGAAAGAGACTGAAAATTAATTTATTATTTCTATGGACAATATAGATGTAATACATTTGTAATCAAACATGTGGGTCAATTTCCAACAGTAGTTGAATTTATATGACAAAGTATTTTTAATAATTTTATTTCACTTTTAGCTACTTGAAAATTTCATGCTGGATGTTTGCTTACCATTACATTTTGCATAAGAGCTCTATGATTGACATTAAAGTCCACGGGCCAATTCATTTCTGATATATCTTTCCGATATCTTGTTATAATATAAAAGGCTGAACGTCATCATAGAATTATTAGGAAAAAAATATATATGTTCATTCTTTGTAAAAATGTTAGAAGACTTGCAAGTTACTGATTTTATCATTGCATTGATTTTATTTATTATTGAAAAATGCTGAACGGCTATCCTCAACAGTGTGTATAGGCTAGAACTTTCAGTTTGCATTTTAGGGTCATGACGGCTTTCCCGTTGCTGTCAACAAACTAACCTTTTTCATAACTTTTCAGATCTTGGTGTATTGTCTTCATACTTGGCCACAACAACCCTTCAAATAGACCAGACTAAACTTGACCTCCATATAAACATTCAAGGTAAAATATTTAAATTTTCTTGATTTTTGCTATTAGTGGCTATGACTTTGTTATTTTTGAATGGATTGTCTTCAAACTTGTACGCAACAATCTTTTAGGATAGGACCTGATTCACTCATTAATGTCCTTGAAGCTTTTGTGATGAGAAGTTGTGCAGAATAATACAAACCCAGAACAATTTCATTTACTTGGTTTTGCAACTTCTGAGACAACGGATTTTAAAGATAGTTGTTTTCTTAAAATTTCAGGACAGTATAGTAGATTGTAAAGACATTTAGTACATACTGTATATACACTATAACTACTATAGTATACTATAAAAATCTTTGTGCTTGGACAATTTTGAACAAATTGTTTCTTAAACAGTGTAAGAAATTAGGATTTGAACCGACTAGTCTGGTGGGACTACCAGATTGGAATATTCACTAGCCCAAAAGACATTTCACTGGCACGATTCATTTGTTCAAAACAGTTGTTTATATTGCCTCTGAAAATACAGTAGCCTGGTCGGCTTGTTACTGTGAAAAGTTGGTAGCCCGAGGAGAAATTTAGTAGTCAGGCCCTCGGACTACTGCTAATTTCGAACACTGCTTAAATTATTGATTTGATATCAACTAACATAATTATTGGGATACTATATGTATATCTAATAATAATTATATTTTATCTTTCCAACTTTCTGTTTCAGATGGTCGCGGCCTACATGTCATATTTGTGAATGTGAACGGCAGGATATCGAGTTTAAGGATGCTTTAGGGTCAATGAGAATGAAATCAAGAGAGATAAAGGCTAAAATGTGAGACTGTCAATCTGACAAACCTTGCAGTGAATAAATGGTAAAATGTTTCTTTCAGTAGCATGGCATTTAAGGAAGCGGTACATGATTATTTAGAAGTGGTTGTATATGATATTTCTTAATTATTATATTCTAATAGCTTTTTTTCTTGACTTGTTTAAAGGCTGACACAGGACAGTTTATTTTAAGTCAGTGAGCTTCTGTCACATGTAACATGTATTTAGGAATTCAGCTTTTATAGTCACAGTAAGCACTCCGAACAAAAATAATAGCAAGAACAATTGACATATCTGACATATATGATTATCTTATCTACACTTAGCTATCTATAGGTTATCAGAATCACTCACATTTATAAATTTAAATAATTTTGAAAAAATTGCTGTTTAGCAAATAGATGAAATACTTGGGGTGTCTGTGGTGGATTGGTTGACTTTGAACCTATTAAGCCTTTCACTGCTGTAGGTTCGAGCTCTGCAAGGGTTTATGGATTATTTCATGTGAGAAAGCTATCCAGCTTATTTATGGAACATTGATGGTACCCAGGTGCCTGAAATCATACACATAGGTGCACCAAGGTCTTCCTCAACCAGTAAAGCTGGAAATTGTGCTTTAAATTGCTCTCCCCCCCCCCTCCCCGAACAAAACAACAAAAATAATGGCATTTTTATTTTGCAATTAACTTTTTCTAAACAAATATTTCAGGAAACAGTGGCGTTTGTATGATAGAACAGTAATAGCAGGAGTGATAAGGACAGATGCATGTAGATGTGTCTTCATGTCGGAAACACTACTAGAGAAATTGAAATATTTGGGTTTTTCAAAACTTAAAAGAAATTGGAATACCAGGAGACTGCTTGCCCTTTGCAATGTTGGATGATGTGATGTCGAAAGCCTCATGAATATAGTAACTTGACTTAATCTAATTAGAAAAAGAAATGACATTGAGGAGAAAACTAGTCGCCAGTCTTTCACCAAGAACATGAGATAACTTTCCAATATTTGAAATATCATAATATGTATAGAACTTTAATGAGCGAACAGTTTTTCACCAGGAAAATAAGATCACTTATCTATTTTTGAAATATGTATGAACAGAACTCTATCAACTTCAAGGTGAGAGTTTATCACAAAGAACATGAGATAGCCTATGTAGGAACAGAACCACATTTGTATATAGAGGCGCCAGTTCATCACCAAGAAGATGAGCTAACTTATCAATGTTTGAAATCTGTTATACCCCTGCACAACAAAGTTGTAAGGGGGGTATACTGGAATCAGCTTGTCCGACCGTCGGGAGTTTGTCATTTTTTTCTTGTCCGTCCAATAACTTAAGATTCCTTTGACCCACAGTCTTCATATTTGGCATGGAGGTAAGTCATGATTAGTAGATGACCTCTTTTAATTTTGAGAACACCAAGTCAAAGGTCAAGGTCACAGGGTCTTGACTGAAGAAAGCTTTTCTGCCCAATAACTTAAGAATCCTTCGACCCACAGTCTTCATTTTTGGCATGGAGGTTAGTCATGATTAGTAGATGACCGCTATTTATTTTCAGGTCACCAGGTCTAAGGTCATGGTCACAGGGGCCTTGGCTAATTAAAGCTTGTCCTCCCAATTACCTAAGAATCCTTTGACCCGTAGTCTTCATATTTGGCATGGAGGTTAGTCAAGATTAGTGAAATACCCCTATTGATTTTGAGGTCACTTGGGCAAAGGTCAAGGTCACAGGGGCTTTTATTACAATTAGCTTGTCTGCTCAAATGGTCTTATATATTCATCATAAAACACCTCCAGGCAAGGCTGCATGAAATGGGGGGGGGGGGTGTTATTGAAGTCATTCAATGGCAGTTTCAGTTTTGAGGTCAGTAGGTCAAAGGTAAAGTTCACTTTGATCTTTTCCACTAAAACATGTAGAATACATAACTTAGCAATGCACTGGCTTACTTCCCTCAGATTTGGCTGGGAGGTTGTCTGAGCTGTAAATGACTACTGGTGTGATTCTGACAAATTGGTATGTGGGGGTATTCACGCCAAGACAATGGCAGTTCTAGTTTGTACAGAAAATATCAAGGTGCAAGTTTCTTTTATTAAGAATAGACTTATTGATTAGATAACTTACAATATTTACAAACATTTATAATACCATACCCATTTAAAGTATTTCAGCTGAGAGTGTATTATCCAAAATACATGTATTGTTATAATGTACTTTATAGTATATTTATTGTAAAGTTTTGATTCTACTAGATTTTAAAAACATTTAGATTTTACTAGATCTTGAAAATATTTTGTTCCATGCTCTTTCATTTAATTTTGAATAATGAATCCAATAAATACCTATAATAAGTATAGGATTAAAATTGATAATGTTTTCTATCTTTAACTTATATAAAAGTACAAAAGTAATGTTCAAACTGCTGGTTAGATTTCAAACAGGACTAAACAGGAGTGTACAGTGCCATCCTTAGGTGTGCACATTGTTGGCATGTTCTCATCGTCAGATACCCACGGCCGAACCATTAACATTCATCATTGATTGCATGTTATGTGACATGTTTATCAATCGTGGGTATCCAACAATGGCATGTTCTGTTTCTCTGCACAAAATGGCCCCAGAGTTAAAAAAAGAAAAATCTATCACATGTAAAACTGCCAAAATTCAAAAGAGTGATCAGAACCATACACAGTTTTGGGAGACATGTTTTTGTGACAAAAGCCCTTCAAGTTCATATATGACCTTGACCTTTATTAGTCCCCTACCGGTTTAACCGGAGGGGACTTTAGGTTTACCCTCCGTCCGTCTGTCCGTCTGTCTGTTAGTCCGTCCGTCCACAAAACTGGATCCCGCGATAATGCAAAATGTACTGAAAATATTTTAATGAAACTTGATATATGGATAGATGGCAGTATGGAGATTATGCACGTCTTTTTTTTTTCTTCCTTTGTTGAAAATTCTGGTTGCTATGGCAACAAATAGCCTGAAAATATGGCACATTGAACACATAAACTGGATCCCGCGATAAAGCAAAAAGTACTGAAAATATTTTTATGAAACTTGATATATGGATAGATGGCAGTATGGAGATTATGCACGTCTTTTTTTTTTCTTCCTATGTGGAAAATTCTGGTTGCTATGGCAACAAATAGCCTGAAAATATGGCAAATTGAACACATAAACTGGATCCCGCAATAACGCAAAAAGTACTAAAAATATTTTTATGAAACTTGATATATGGATAGATGGCAGAATGAAGATTATGCATGTCTTTTTTTTTCTTCCTATGTTGAAAATTCTGGTTGCTATGGCAACAAATAGCCTGAATTTCAAGATTTCTGATTTAAATTTTTCAGCTTTTTCACTATAAGTTCTTTATTTCTTAAGGTGATTACTTCAAACTTTAAATATAAGTTTCTGGTCATCAACCACATCATATGTGACAAGGTTTACAACTCTAGCACAAAAATTATCAGTATTACCTCCCTTGAACTTAGAATTTTTATGAAAAAAATGTTGTCTTTTTTAAATAACTTCTTTATTTCCTAATGTATCTACTTCAAACTTCATATATATGTTTCTTATTCTCACTCAACATTTTTGAGAAGGTTAAATACTCTAGCAAGACTATTTCCAGAATTATGTCCCCCTTGAACTTAGATTTTTTTCGAGAAATTGGTATTTTTCACTCCAACTTCTTCATTCATTATAGGATTTACTTTCAAATCCCACATCGTAATAATATGACAAGGTTGTATAAACATAATTTCCTTACTAGGCAGGGAAACTTAACACATTACTGTGATATAGACAAACTTAGAACTCAAAAGATTTAAGTTCATTCATGTCATTCATTCACTGGTAAAATTGACTGGCCAATGGCCCATCAGAAAGTTGCTGGGGTTCTAACCGGTAGGGGACTTATGGATTGCTTGCAATACTATGATAATTGCTTGTTTGATATAAAATATCTGGAGTTAGCTGGAATTGTCATTACTTTGTTATTATTTACAGATTTGATTCATGCTTGGACAAACAAACACAAAACCAACATGTTGAATTTTTCTGATATAACTTTGACATTTAAATGACCATTACCTCCAAGGTTAAACAATTGAAATTCGATCACATTGTCATAACTTTGTTTTTGTCTATGATTTGATTCATTCTTGGACAAAAGAACAATTATCATTCAACTATGACCTTTACTATTCAAATTTGAAATTTACTTTATACATTTATATTATGTTTTCTAGGAGTACTCTAATAGATATTACAATATTCTCCTACTGATGTGTTTGACTTCCAATATAAGAAAAAGCCGAGCATGGCCCAGGCTAGATAGTGGCTCTTGTTTTCAATGCCAACTTGATTATATGTATCCATTCCAATTTACATTCTCACATGTATTATCTATTGTGCTTGAAAGGTTTCTACAAAAAACAAGTTTGTTCTTACAGTCCTGGTTTTATTTTAGAAATATTTTAAAGACAGTTAAATTTTCTGTTTATTTTCTATCTGCATAATCATTTCTTGGAATAAATATAGTAAGTACACTGATTTATGTGTTATACACTCACATAAGGAAGTACTTTACATGAAAATTGGTTAAACAACTATAGTTTCCCAACAAAATCCAATGTCATAATTTAAGGTATTAGGACCCTAATGGGCACCATCAGGAACTAAAAAATTGACATCATAGGTCAGATGTATACTTAAAAGTAAACCTTTATGCAAAATTTACTGTACGGAAATCAAGTTATGGCCACTTTTCTGAACTCAAGCTAGGATGTTATGAGGGCCCTTTTTTAGAAATGAGGAACCTTTAAATAATCTGCAATAACATTCTAATGAAAAATGTTTTCCCATTAATTTTTGGTAAGAAACAAATAGTACCATTCAGCTAACAGTCCACATAAGCAAAGTTATGGTTTCTACTTAAAATTTATGAAATCTGTATAAAAATGTTATCCTACCCCACCCATTTTTACCATGTGTCTGACCATTTTTCTACTTAGGGAGCCTAATTTAAAAAATTCTTAAAATTTACTCAAATGAGTGCCTGTTTTCAAAGTTTCCCTAAATTTTTAAAAAAGTATATTGGTTGATCTTGTAAAATATGAAATACTTTTACCGTTTAGTTTTGATTATATAACACTTTGAAAATATCAGGTACCATATTTATTACTAGATTTAGCATAATTTAGCCAATAAATACCTATATAAATTAAAAAGTCAAAATTAAACACTTTTTTCTTTCCAAGTGGGACATGAGAGATACATAAATAATGTTAAAAGAAAAAAAGAAAGAAAAAAAAAGTTGACCCTTCTGGGGATTGAACCCATGGCCCTCATTTTCAATGTAGTTAACAGTAGTTCTCAGCCTATTTGAATACTCTTCAAAGCGGAGGTAATGCATTAGGGTGCTAATATCTTAAAATGTTTATTCATGATATATATATGATATCAATTATGCATTTTGCCTGGGTTTGTTAGTATGTTCTTGGTACATGATTTTCAATTTTGACAAGAGTTTGGAGGCGATACTATTATATTGTGTACAAAATGGGCACTTATTCAACTTTGAAAGAAGAATGATATCAGATTTGAACACCTAAAGTAGATTGCTATACAAATCTCGAATTTTTGTATGCAACATATTGCGCCCCCATCAGTGCTTTCAGCACTTTGATTTGTTCTCATGCCTGCATTATGCTCCTACGTTCTCCCTGGGACTATTATGTCCCAGGTTCTCCTCAGCAATCAATGCATTTGCAGGAAATATTATAAGATACATTTTGGTTCACAAAACAGAATTGTTAGTGTCTACTCATTTGGGATTTTGATAGTAAAACATATAAAGAAAGTGAAGATACACATGTAAGTTAATGAGGACCGAAATGAATTTGAATCCTGAATGTCCTTGATCTCGTAGGTCAAATTACTGACTTAAAATTGATCATACCATGCTATTACTGAGTGAAGTTACTTATAAGTTGACCAAAACTTATGATAAAACCAACATGTTGAATAATTGAAATATGACATTGTCTTTTCATGACTGATCATCAAGGTCAAATTATTGAATTTTGTTTGAATTATTATAAATTTGTTATTGGAAAGCACGCAACAACGTTTCATGGCAACAACGCTTCATGTAAATACAGTACGTAATACGCATCTGTAATAGGCTTTATAGACTCGCGGAGATTAAAAAAAGCACTTTTTAAATCAATATTAAAGTTGTGACACCTGGGACGGTGTCAATATTCACTCCAGGACCTTTATTTTTACAGCTTTTGAAGAAGACCACTTAGTGATGCTATAATCCAAATATCAAAGCTGTGAGCCTTTTTTCGTTGTAACAAGCACATTCTTAAATAGTCCGGTTTTATGTGCTTTGGCAACCCAAGTTCTTCAGGGAATCTAATTAGTTGAACAACTTTGGTTTTATGCATAGAACATCGCTGCCAAGTGTCATCAGTCTAGTACGTGGTTTCAGAGGTGTCTGAAGAAAATGTGAACGGACGTATGATGAGCGGAAGACGCTGGGCGATGAGCGATCCTAAAAGCTAAACTCTGGCATTTTGAGGTTAACTAAAACTGTAATAACTACCGAAAAGACTATTGTTTATGGAAGTAAACAAATTTGGTACTTTTACTTCGTTACTCATAAATGATAAAGTAAAAACTTATAATGGCACGTGGCAAATACACTATTTCTGCAAGGTCTATATTGCGAGTTCACATCTCCTGGTTCATTCATTTAGAACATATATTGGTTTTGGCTTATATATTTTGCATACTTTATCTGTGTGGTATTTCTGGAAAACAAAACTGGAATGCAATGTTTGTAAAACTAAAAGACCTAGAAACAAACTACATGAATTAGGCATCTAACCGCTCGATCATTTGGGCAGCTTTATTGACCATTATCATGACTGCACCACCATTTTGTCCAAACCACATTGTAACTGTATTAATTACTATTTCAGAAATACAAGATTCAGTCCAAAGTATTCTTTATCCGTAGATGGAATTACAATGTAGCATCCATATTTCTAGATAGCCAGTTAACACGGGTAGGATTTGATGATCATCATCATCCTCAGTAATTACCTCACTCTTCGTAGAGCATAATCACATTTATAAAATATGAGTGTGAAAATTTGCCACAGTTTCATGATAAGAAAATTGTGATTTATTCGATCTGACAGTTGTTATTTGAAAAAAAAAGTAAAAAGAAAGAAAATATACATATTGCTGACCTGGAAGTCGGATGTGTAACGCCGCGGAAACAAATTGTTGGGTCATAATAATCTTGATCAATGCACATATGTACTTGTGATGAAGTGGAAAACAATCCGATCTTCTCAAATGTGTAACATAAACTTGAAACAAAATTAATTAATTTTTATTTTATCCCTAATTGCTGTTCCAGTATTTTTACAAACTTTTTATTGACGCACGTAAAGAAATGTAACGTTAGACGCTCAGCGGCTATGATTATTGCAAGAACATACATGTAATAGTTCATTTTATATATCATGAAAATAGCCTCACAAAAAGCTCAACAAAGAGTGATATGCAGTGACTCATATGGATTTCACTGATAAAACTCAGCATATTTCAATGGTTAGCGCAAAAAAATACATTCTTAAATATATAAAAAAGAAACTTTACATTATGTAAACATGAATTTCAGTGCGTACCCATCATGCGTGATAAGCAAGTCTAGCCTGTCGATACTCTACACAAACCCGATAATCTCGTGCAGTTATCATGCACGGCGACTTAAACGCTGATTTCTGTTTTTTACACAGAGCACACCTCAAAAAATCGTATTGAGTAAAACTTCTTACACAGAAACGTTTGCTCTTTTTCACAACTTCGAAAGAAAAACCTTTATTGTTAATATTTAAAACTTCCAGCAGCCAGGCCGGGCCTCGGCTCTCTGAAAATCAACGTATTCAGGCTATCTATTGAGATGTTATGGATGTTGCGCTCTAGGCAAACAATTCATAATCATAGTACGTGTACGGTTCGGTAATACTGGATCCGTTATCCGGTGCACTTCGTGAGACGTCACTAAGGGACAACCACGTCATTAGGCTGAATCACCTTCGCAGCCGGTTTTTGCCTGCTTCAGCTACTGCTCGGCAGCCACATGTCAGTGCCCAATCTATCCGAAATCGCCTTATACATGTACAATCCCATATTCCAATTCATGACGCAGACTATATACTGGGCAGATACTGAGACCCCGCCACAGGTACGCCAGATTGGCGTGGGCACAGTGTCACTTACGCTGGACACGAAACCAGTGGGGTCGACGAATTTCACTTTAGAGTAAGTCACGCTGAGGCAGGGTGTGAATCTATCGTCGCAGAAATGAACGTTTCGCAATGTTGCATCCGGGAAAGGGATCGGTTTGGTGGAGGAAGTGTGATGGTATGGGGAGGGAATTATGGGGGACCGAAAGACAGAGCTTGTGGTTGGGCGCGGCAACCTTACAGCACATGGTTATTTGAACACATTCTCGTAAACACTCCTTTAATTACTATTCATGCAGGCTCATGGTCCTGGGTAGCCTGGGTTCCAGTCTGTCGATTTTTTTATGTGCTTCTGTTCGGCAAATCGACTATCAAAACCAGAGATGTTGTGCGTTATCTATGACGATCGAGTATGAAATAGCGCGTATGTTATAAATAAGCAAAAAAAATCAACGCCTGAATCCCAGGCTAGGTCCTGGGTTAACTTTCCAGCAAGACAATCGCAGACCACACACTGCCCGTTTAACAGCCAATTTTCTAGCTTTCAACCACGTTAACGCCATGTCCTGGCCAGCTGTCTCCCCGGATATATGAATCCCATTGAACATATCTGGGATGAACATGGGTGACGAGTGAGAACAAATCACCAGAAAGACAGCGTTAAAGACCTTGCACGGGCAATGCGAGTGGAACTGCGGACCCTGCCTAAGGTCTTAATCAGGTGTAACATTCACTCCATGAGGAGGAGAATTCGAGCGTGTATTACCAGTTCCGGGGCCACACACGTTACTGAGTTGTTCTGATAAACAATATTGATTTTAATTCAAAGATTCAGAATCTCAAAAGTCTCATTTACTATCGATTTCAGTTCCATTCCTGGATATTTTATTTGGACCACTACGTCAGAATATGTTATTGTTCGACTTAAATGTGAGTAAATAGAAGCAAAATCTCAAAGGAATAAAATGTAATCAGATTTATCCGTATACACCAATAAGAAATTGAAATATGCATGTAAAGTTTTTTTATTTTGCTGAGTGTATATATAGACTTATAAGGTTGATCAGAACATGCCTTTGGTTATCCAAAACAAAGTAATAATTATACCTTATAACATACAGCAGGGGAGGATGAGTGGTAGTTCTCGTTAAGTGCAAAATATCTTAACACACAAAATATATTTTGCAGCATGTCATCTTCCAGGCATTCTTCAAGAAATGAAAGTCCTTTTGAAACGTACAGAATGCGTGTCTGTTTTGATCCGACGAGCAATCGATTTAACACATGCAAAAGAGTTGTTAGCTACATATTAATATCTATGCATAAGAATTGCTTTCGCAAATTGATATTAATTAAACAGTTTCAAACTCAAACATTTATCAAAGCTTAGATAATACATGTAATAAATAACTGTATTCCTGGCTAGAATGTAAATCAAACTGATATATAAGATGCAGATAATAGCCATTAATTTAAAAATCGAGCCTTTATGTTTATTTCGTTGCGGCAAATTTAATCAAAATCAGAATAAAAAAAGGAAAAAAAACAGCAACAACAAAAGGCAACAGCAACAACGACAAAAACATAAGCCCTAAATTACCTAAAACATTCTTTAAATTATTATTTTCTTGGTCTCATTTTGATGAATGGTTATCGTTTTCTCTATATATTAACAGATGCATTGTATATTTAATTAATGATTGCTCAAAATTTTATATTGGATCACGGACCTTAATTTATTGATAATTAATGTCCGTGATTGGATAATACTCATATATAAATGGTTTCCTAAAGATTGAACAAAATTAATATACCATATAGCTTTAAATTTATATACATTATGTATAGTGGATACCTAATTCAGTAGAACTTATTTCATTTATTGTACTATTTAAACAGAGATTTACTGACAATTTTATATATAAGAATGGCGGGAAAATGTTACTTCCTATCATGTTTTGTATATACATGTATATTATACAAATAACTTTACCCTGAATTCGAATATGCTCGTTGATTTAAACTGAACAAAGAATAAACAATATCGATATCTGCTTACAAAATTGTCTTGCAGAATGTGATTGAAAGTAGAGACTACCCGCTATAGTATAATAATATTATAGTGTTTGGAAAATTGATAGAGTAGTCTGACCGTATATTATCCGGTTTTCGACCGTGTTTGGGCACAGTGAACCATCAATTAGTAGTCCCGTCACTGAAATATGTTTTCGCGACAAAAAGTTGCAAAAATTTAGGATAGTTTTGTTTTAATTACACTCCTGTTGTATAAAATGAAGGTATATAAGTGCGTTATTCTTTTATTTACCTTGTTTTTGTTCATAGTTTTTCATAGATCTTATAAAATTTCAGTCATCTTAAAGGATGAAATTGGCCCATTGCCATTCACTGAATCAGTTGTAATTATAAATATTATCCTGCAGATCATCTAATAGCAAATTTCACACCTAATGTCTGTAGATTTATGAAGAAGACCGAAGTTACTATAACTGTTAACGTGGAAATTTTTCGGGCACTCACCAGGGTTTGAAACCCGGACCTCTAAATTACAAGGTGGATCCTTTGTCTGAATATTTCCGCTGCAAGTCCGACCAAATTTACAATCTGATAATATGAAATTAGGCCAAGCCTATCTACGGGGAAGTCGTTTTAAAAAATAGTTTATTTTTCCGTTTTAAAAGTGTCATTCAGTATTTTATGCACTGCTTCGGTTTTGATGATTATTATTAATCCGAAAAGTTGCGATTGTCCTTTAATGCTTTATCGGAATACTTCGCCTATTATCATTGAGTTACATTGAAAATGGCAGCGCCCAACTAGAACTGACACTGAAAATTTCATTGATCGGTATACATGTAGAATTCTATATATATTTTTTTTATTTGATTTCCTTTTAAATATAAATGTGTAGTCTATAGTAAGACCAAACAAATAATGGTAGCGAAATTTCAGACTCTGATGCTGTTAATTGCAAATGCCGAAAGTAGTCCGCTTTTTTGAAGCGGTTACTTCCTTTTATATGTACACTAATGGCGAAAAATTAAGGGGAGATCACTGCGTAAATATGGTCAAATGACAGGCGCATTAATTTTCAAGCAAAATAGTTCCCGAATGGTCGAAGATTTCTAATATTGTTTTATTCTTTATAGATATACATGCTTATAGTAGGCTCCATTATTATTTACATCTGTGTTTAACAACAGCCAGTGCCGAAATAATAAGGGTTACACACCCTAATAAGTAATTTGGAATAATATGGTTTTCTTCAGGCAGTTAACATATAACTTCACAGTGGCCGAGGGGTTTGCGCGCTCGCTTAGGAAGCGAGAGGTCTGGAGTTCAAATCCCAGTTAAGAAAACTCTTTTTTTTTTTCAAATTGTTTAAGTCAAATAAACATTGAATTGAATATCAGTGTTGCAATTAGTCTTATAGCCATTTTACTACAATTAAAATGCTGGAAAGCATTTGTGACACTTTACAAAACAAATTGGTTTATAATCTCACAACCTTCACCTTTCTGACATTCTGAGACCCAAACAAATTCAGCGCCTTCTGTGCTTTGTTTCACACTTGATTATCCTTGTTGCCATTAAGGCATTATTGTAAACCTGACAATCCTCAGACACTGACCAGGGTTTGAATACGGGGGCGTACCTCTCGATAACAAGGCGGACAATAAGAGACACTCAACTGCATCAATAAAGGGCTAACCCAACTGTAAGGCAGTTAGAAGTGACCTATACGTATAATCACTACAATCTGTCAACCAATTAAACTGACATCCATTGGGTGTTAAAAGTTTAAAGCATACATCATTACATGTGCATGTATTGTTCAAAAACATTTATGTAATTGAAAACAAGTTAATATCAGATGATCAATATAGATCCCGACAAAATACATTACAGATGTCATTTTGTTTATATGTTGCAGAAGATGGCAGATGATGATGTTTTATGTTGCTGTGAGTACAGAAATAAAAATGGTGAAAAATCTCACCTTTTGGCTTGCTGTTGTGACTGTGAAGCCCTGGATCAGATTGCAGATAGGTAAATCTTAAAGATTGAAGTTTCTCCATCTTGAGTAGATTATTACGCGCATTGATTATTTTTATTGATTTTTCTAACAATCTGTACCAATTATAACAGACATGAAAACCTTTTTATAATTCATTTTCATTAGCAATTATGATTATATGCAGTGTCTATTCTAGGATTTGAAAAACAGCCCTGGGGGATTTTTATCGAAAAGTGAGAATTTTTTACATTTGTTGATTTTTTCCCTTCTTTCTCTATGTAAAATTTTCCCCCTTCCTCTGAAAAACTAGGGCGAAATTCTCAAAAATAGGAGTGAATCCCCTATCCCCCCTCCTAGAATAGACACTGTATATGAGTTTTTACTTAATACCATTAGCACCAGGAACTTATGCTTGGTCAAATTTTGTAATGTTTAACTAAGATTTATTCAATATATGAAGTAAATTTCAAGGACTATTGTTGAAACTGCAAAAGTTAAAACATGCAAAAAATATAATGAAGAAATTTGTTTTAAAACTCTTTTGAATGAGAGTACTGCCTGTATGAAATAAACCACCAAAAACTGTTGAAGCAACACTGTATTCACATAAAACAGACTTGACAAAGTTATGAAGTCAAGAATATACTCTTTACTGTCATTCCTAATAATAAATGTTTGGTGTCTTACCTTGAATGGGTTACAGGAGATCCCTCATGTGGCTACGCTACTCTAGATAAAGTAAAGTACATGTACAAGGTAGTGATATGGACAAATCACATATAAATTGTACCGTCAATCATTGTGTTGTCAAGTTTGCCAGATTAGCAGTGTGAACTATTTTTTGAAAATGTGTCATCAGTTAAATATATTGTGTTTGAATTTTGCCATTTCAGAGTTTTCAAGTGTGAAAAGATTCCAACATCTCTAGTTGATCGGTTATTTGAGACAATAGTTGACCGATGCCGTGTACCAGGATTATCTGGTGGTGGTGCTACACAGATAAACCTAGAGGTTGCCATCCCTGTCCTAGTTATACCAATTAGTTTGATGATATGTGCAGTTGGACCAATCTCAACAGGTTGTATACTCGCCTGTCTTCCATATTTCTGCTTCTTTTTCTACCGTACATGGAAGAGAAAAACGAAGAAGACTCGGACCAAATTTTTCTTTGCTTGGGGTGTGACATCATTGCTATTTATGTATTTTCTATTTGAAGTTGTTATATGTATGAACACAAATGTCTCCAAGTTAGAAAACCTATGTGTTAGTCTATCAGTGATGGGAATGTGTGTTGCTCTAAGATTTGCCAAGAAAGATCCAGGAATAATACCCAGTGAGAAAGTAAAACAATACCTGTATGATACATATAGTTTTACAGTACATAGAAGCTCGCATGAAGGGGATAAAGATATTGAAGACTTTGAAGTTATAGAACATAAAGATATACCTGATGATACACACAACAAAGGTATGTGATGACAAGATTTAACTATTCTAATATGAAACTCTTCTTTTAGATTAGACCAAATTGATTTCTTGTACTACCAATTTTACTGAGTAAAATTCAGTGCTAGCTAGTGATTTTTTTATGCCCCCAAAAGGAGGCACATTCGTCTGTTTGTGCGTCCCCACTTCATTCGTTTCCGGACTGTAACTTTGTCATACATTGAGGGATTTTGAAATAGCTTGGCACAAATGTCTACCACATCAAGACGATGTGTCGCGTCCAAGAACCATGTCCCTACCTCACAGACTTCCCGAAAGTTGAAAAAAACTGTCAGACATTCGGTCTGACAGACCATGAAAATCTGTCGGACCGAAACAAAATCTGTCGGACCAAATAAAATTGATCAAAATCAACGAAAAACTTGTGTTTGTATTTCTAAGACACTTCTTGTTTTTTATTTTTTTGCCGTAAAAATCGGCACAATCCGTACAGGGCATTTTCATCTCCTCCCTGTCATACACCAATGATTCATGGTTCTGCTTCCATTTTTCATTAAATTTTGTCTCAGGTCTATTCTTTTCATCCTTTTATTGCTGTTCTGCGCACTCTTCTGACGTAGATTTTCGTTTTTTCTGAGGTTTGGCACCTTTAGCGACGCCATTTTGTATACATGCGGCTTGGATAAAAGCCGGACAGTCGGACCGATCCGGAATAAAAAATTGTCGGACCTGATCAAAATTTATCGGACATGTCCGTCGGACCGACGTATTTCGGGAAGTCTGACCTCAAAGGTAAAGGTCACACTATCATTTTGAAGTTTCACAGTATCATTTATTTTGCATTACATTATTTTGCAGTTTACTTTTTGCAAAAAATGGACGATCCTACAAAATTGTCCTTTGTGATATAATTAAGTGAATTTACAGTGTATTTTTGCTGCCCTTATCTATAATCTTAATTTTATAAACATCTGTATATTTTCAGATATGGAAGATCTGCAGACAATGAAAGGAGCAGACGGTGAAGAGCATAGTAAGGGAGCTAACTGGTGTAATATTTGTTGTATAGAAAAACCTCCAAGAGCTGGTCATTGTACTGTATGTGATGTTTGTATATATAACAGGGACCATCACTGTGTTTGGTGAGTTGAATGACACGTGGCTTCAACAAAACATGTATTTGAGTAAATGGAAATAACATGCATTTGCCAGTTAATTAGTATGACATGTACAAGTATGTAGATCTAGTGTATGACACAATCTGGTGAGTTAAGGTAGAAAAAGGACTCTTCCTTAACCACCAGGCTAATTTTGATCAATTTTTACAGGAGCCTAAAAATAAAATTTGAAAATCTTGAATATGAGCACTTAAAACGGGAAAATTTGAGGAAGATAACTAAGATATAACTCGAAATTTTAACTAAAAAATGATATTTAGTGCTATTTTTAGCCTGTTTCGAGTTAAAATCACTTGCAGTTAATGTCTTTTTGCTGATAAGAATGAATATTCTGAGCGAATGATCTGAAAAATTTACACACAAGTTATTGATATAGACCTACATGAAATGGTATAAAACACTCATAATAATATTTTCAGTCCTGTCATGCGAAAGGGCCTCAGTGGAGTCCTTTTAAAGCAGCATGCCTCCAGATTTATGCTTTCATGAAAATTTGAAAATGTATTAAAACGTAAAATATTGTGAAGAAAACAAAGAAAGTAATTCAAATTAACACATTGCAAATGTCACTTGCAATCTACTTAAATTACAAAAAAAGATTAAAATATGCAAAAAATGGCTGTACTGAGTTAGTAGAAATATGGTGATAATTACTGCATAATCAGTCATTAATCACGCATAACATGAAAATTATTACCTGAATTTAATACATTTTAATCAAGTTTGGTTTCCTTGAATATTTGGCTCATCTGGAGGCATGGAGCTTTAACTGCTTTGCAGATTCTTTTATAAAACTCAAAAGAATTGACCTTTTAGTGGTTCTTTACAAAATTAGCTAACATTGTTCTAGTTTGATGATGTTAAGCATCTCAATTTTACTTATTTTCTCAGGTGAGTGATCCAGCGTCCTCAAGACTCCCTTGTTTTAAAGTATACTCATAAGTGAACATTTGTTAAAATTGAATCATACATTTTCAGGATAGATAGCTGTGTTGGAGCAAGAAATCATAGGTCATTCCTTGTTGCTATGACAATATTTGTATTCACTAGTTACTATGGAGGTTATTTGACCTTGGCTGCAGTATGTGATCCGATGTCGCCTCATGAAGCTACCTGTTCCTTCCGAACTGCATACAGAGATTTTAAGTGAGCATTGCCTTTACTTATTGTATGATTTATTTATTGCTTAAGAATCTGTGAATTTGCTAGAATTAAAAAAGTTTACTAATGTAAAGTATTGAATAAAAGATTTGTTGTTTCTTAAGACGTCATTAAGCTAAGTTCATTTCTTGCATATTTAATAAGATATTAAAGAGATTCTTATTCATACAGTTGTACTCATTAACAAAAGACTATATAAAAATAATAACAAATTTATTTAATATATCACCAATATATTAATTCTGTTACAGGTGGGGACTTTGTTATGCAAGTGCCTGGTATGTTGTTGTCGTAGCAACACTAATGTTGTTTGGTTTAATACACCAGATGGTGCTGATTTCTCAAAACATGACTTCACAAGAGTTACATACTGCCATAAAGTTTGGAAACACAAGATGTTTAATTTACAACATAAGGAATGTGTACAACCAAGGCATATTACAGAACTGGAGTGATTTCTTTATGAAAAAAAGATATGTAGCCATGTATGAAACTGTATAAAGAACAGCTTAAAAAAAAAGAAAAAAGCCAGTATGGATCTGAACTATAATATATAGATATATGAGTAATGTAAATGTTGTTAATATTATAATATAAATATTACTACATGTACTAGTAACTGACAACATTGAAGCAGTTATTCTTATAATGGGAATTTGTAGAGAAAAATTGTGGGTAAAATATGTGTAAAGGAAGACTGGGTGATGGTGATGGTAATATAAAATATAAAACATACAATATCATAGAAACTTAAACCTGTGATAGGTGACAATATGGAAATATGGTACCCGTAGTTTCTTAAAATGTAATACCAGTGTCTTTTTTTTGGTGTGGCAATAAAGTCTTGTTTATTATTTTAGAATGTGATAATTTTATTTTATTTTACTTTTGTTTTGTGTGCATCATTTTGTTTTGTTTACAGCTTGTTTTTTTTTTCTTCTTTTTTTTCAGTGCAATAAGTAATGAAAGAATGTTATTGTTAAACATATGCTGTTTCTGAACATACAACTACTCTAAAGCCAAAATTTTAAAGTTTTATCTCTTGTGTGATTGTTGTTGATTTGTTTGTCAGTTGTTTAATTTTTATATGCTTTATTTATCTGCAGCCTAATGTGGAAATTCAGAACAAAATTCAAGAATGAATCATTATCAAGAAAAAGTATACAAAATATATTTTAAGGTTCATTAAAGAGGAATTCTGGAGATTATCTAAGTAAATTTTTATACTGTCACAAGTTTGATGTTGTATTTGTTACTATACTTTTGTGTCAGTTAAAAACTAAAAAAAAACTGCAACAAGTCATTGTTTGACAAAAATGCTCTTATTTGATCTCTAAAAGCTTTTTATATTTTTGGTTATAGTTTTCTGGTACTCATTGTCTATATACATGTAGCTGAAATATCGTTTGTAACTTGCTTTTGGCCATTAGTGACTTCACAGCTTTTTCCTGTCACCACAAGGAAATCATATTCATTTCTAAGGTCTTTACTTTGCATTGTTCTTGACAACTCAAATAATTATATAGCAATGCTCCAATGACTGTGACAATATTATTTAAAGAGAAACTAACACTCTAAATGCATCAGATTTCATTAGAAATCATGTATTGTTTTAAACATGAACATTTGTTAATTTTGTAAAACACATATATTGTTTTGACATATTCAAGATTTGCTTTAAGTTCTACAGGATATTGGGTCTAGCAAATGGGCATATTCATGGAAATTTGAAAGGGTATGGGATGTTCTGACTTGGACTGTTAAATGTATGGTGAATAATTAATGTTTTTATTTTTTAGTAATATACATATACAGATTTATGCATTTTGAAGTAATTTTATAGAATTGTATAATTTGTAACTTAATATATTAACAGAAATATAGCCACAATGCTCTGTAATTTAGAAGCTTTTCTGGTATAACCATAGAAACATAAGAAAATGTTACTATATTGATGTGGCTTCTTTGTTGTTTATCACATTTACACAACATTATTTGGTACAAGTAAATGATCATATGAAATAATTTAAAAACATAATTTGTTTTGTTTTATCACCATTAACAAGTGTTTTTACATAAATAGTTAAAGATGCTGGTTTCTTACTGTATTAATAGCTCACCTGAGCATAAAATGCACTGAGGTGAGCTTTTGTGCTGACATGATGACCCTATTCCATAGTGTAGCTTTTATGCTGACATGATGACCCTATTCCATAGTGTAGCTTTTGTGCTGACATGATGACCCTATTCCATAGTGTAGCTTTTGTGCTGACATGATGACCCTATTCCATAGTGTAGCTTTTGTGCTGACATGATGACCCTATGCCATAATGTTTCTCTGTTACCTATTGATATGTACAACCTCTTAAAACAAAATCGTCTAAACCAAATAGTAAAGTTTGACCATACTTCACAGGAATAAATTTTATGACATAGGTCCTCAACAAAAGATATATAAATTGTTCCAGCTTGATGCATATGTAGGTTACAGGAGCTAGAAAAAGACTGCAAAATTGAAATCCAGCCCGTAACACACATCCGTTTCTTTGACATATATAGGAACATAACTTTTGACATCTTGTCCTCAGAAACAACAATTAACTAGACTAGAGCTTATATATTTGGCATGCAACATCACCTCGTGGTCTTCTATGGTTATATGAATCTGAAGGGTTATATTAAAATGGTGTTGGGTCTACAATTATATGAATCTGGATGGTTATATTGAACTGGTGTTGGTATTGAACTGGTTTTGACTACTGTTATATGAAATAGAAGGGTTATATTGGTGTTGGTCTACAATTATATGAATGTGGCTGGTTATATTGAAATTGTGTTGGTCTACAGTTATATGAATCTGAATGGTTATATTGAAATTGTGTTGGTCTACAGTTATATGAATCTGAAGGGTTATATTGAAATGGTGTTGGTCTACAGTTATATGAATCTGAATGGTTATATTGAAATGGTGTTGGTCTACAGTTATATGAATCTGAAGGGTTATATTGAAATGGTGTTGGTCTACAGTTATATGAATGTAGCTGGTTATATTGAAATTGTGTTGGTCTACAGTTATAAGAATGTGGCTGGTTATATTGAAATGGTGTTGGTATACAGTTATATGAATCTGAAGGGTTATATTGAAATGGTGATGGTATTGAACTGGTTTTATCTACCGTTATATTAATATGAAGGGTTATATTGAATGGTGTTGGTCTACAATTATATGAATGTGGCTGGTTATATTGAAATGGTGTTGGTCTACAGTTATATGAATGTGGCTGGTTATATTGAAATGGTGTTGTCTACAGTTATATGAATGTGGCTGGTTATATTGAAATTGTGTTGGTCTACAGTTATATGAATCTGAAGGGTTATATTGAAATGGTGTTGGTATTGAACTGGTTTTACTACTGTTATATGAATATGAAGGGTTATATTGAATGGTATTGGTCTACAATTATATAAATGTGGCTGGTTATATTGAAATTGTGTTGGTCTACAGTTATATGAATGTGGCTGGTTATATTGAAATTGTGTTGGTCTACAGTTATATGAATCTGATTGGTCATATTAAAATCGTGTTGGTCTACAGTTATATGTATCTGAATGGTTATATTGAAATTGTGTTGGTCTACAGTTCAGTCTTGAAACATAACTGAAACACGTGTTATATCCTTATAACGACTGACACCTTGACGACCATTTCATAGAGATTTCCCAACTTACAAATTCATGAAAACGTGGCTTATTTGTGTTTGCTCTGAACATATACGTTAGAGCTATTAATGACAGAAAGTCATTGTGAACTGAACTCGGTAGTAGTGATCCATTTAATTTCATGTTCCATGCATTGCATAATTTTGTTTCTGTTCTGCACCTTGAATATATAACTTTCGAAAAACATAACATTTTGGCGTGAACAATCGCGTACCTGCTCCGAAACATTTGTTCGCGGTAGAACTGAAAATATTCGATTTTGTCGAATTTGCATGGACACACGTTTTTAAATGTACATAAACGTGTGAAAAATCATGATTGACCTCGAATAAGTGGCATCCTGTATTATGCCATGAATATACATGTGTATGGTTCAATGGTCGGGCCTCATGCAAATTTCGAACATTGTTTGTTTGTTTGTTTGTCTCATTTTACGCCTTTTCCAAAAAGTATTTCAGTCATATAGAAGGGTAGTTTCCTAACCATCGTTCCTTGAGAGTTACACCAGTACTAGACTACCTTCCTCCGTGCAAAACTACCAAAGTATCTACCGGGGAACGAATCCACGCCAGAGAAGTAACTGGATTAGAAGTCATTGACTCTAACCCCTCGACCACGGAGGCGGTCAATTTCGAACATAAATAATGGAATCTACACGGCAGAAATCGGTGACACCTTCGCGATTAAATTTATTACGCTATAGTCGTTGAAAGATTATCACACTTTATTGGTTGTCTTTAAAAGGTATAGATATCTCGGTCTTAACACTTGATCATGTCTATTTTAATTTCTATAGCTTTTATATGTAAAAAATCATAGACTACGCTCCTCCTAATACGTCAAATTAATATCGCCTTGCGCTCAACATCGAACCTTTTGCTCCATCTCTTGCCCTTTCGCTCCACTACTTTCGAAAAATATCGATTTACAAATTTAAGAAATCCTTCAGGAGTAATTTATTTTGCACGAAGGACAAGTTCTTATTACGGGTTGATAATTTACTAAAAAACTTTTTCAAGAAATCAGAAGGGTATGGCATTTCTATGGCTGGGAAGTTCAATATTCTACAAATCATCGTTCGCTTCGTCAGGGAGAAAAGTTCTCTCCGGCTTAATATAATTTTCTTTTTGTAACAGGTTAGATCATTGGAAGCCTAAATCAATCCTACACGGAACTACATTTTCCGTTTTTCGAAAAAATACAACTTAAATGAATAACAAGACAAAAACATAAACAATACTTACAATTAGGCGTTTAAATCGGCCTTCTGCTATATCTCGGAAATGCCCTTCGCTCGTTTTACCGTACACCACAATTTTGAAATGGAGCGACAGTTTGCCGGGCGTGTTTATGATACATGGTGTCCGTTGTGGGTCATCAAGCACAATTTAAACAATCATCTGTCAAACCACTTTGTAAATATTGACCAAATTTTACACTACAGAAGTTATATAATTGGCCCAAATTGGATAGGAAAATTACATACACTAATTGAGGTGTTATTACCAGACATTTAAAGAATAATTATTTAAAGAAGTATTTGGCAATTACTTTCCTCCATTGCGGTTTTTGTTTACAAAATGAAATGTTCATCGTAAATCTGATTTCCAGCTTATTATAATATGTAGTTAATGGTTGCTAAAATAAAGAAAATGGACAGAATTTTCTATTTCAATAAATATGTGTAAGAAATTTTCTGAATATTTGGGTTATGCTTCACTCATACAGACATATGAGCCGCGTCACGACAAAACCAATATTGTGCGTTTGCGACCAGCATGGATCCAGACCAACCTGCGCAGTCTGATCAGGATCCATGCTGTTCGCTTACTAACTCTATTACAGTTGAGAGAAACTGATAGCGAACAGCATGGATCCTGATCAGACTGCGCAGGTTGGTCTGGATCCATGCTGGTCGCAAACCCACTATGTTGGTTTTGTCGTGACGCGGCTCATATTTTCCCTCTAACTTTATGAGGCGAATATAAAAACGACGGAGAAAAATGTTTAAAAAAGGAGGGATGCTGACGAGTATTTCTGTAAAAATCCGAAATCGTATTCTGCTTTTGAGGTTGAGCCTTTTTAGCCATTTTTTGTTACATAGCTCGACATTAACCAAGAAGTTCGACTTTTCTTATTCGTGTAACTTCATGCGTATTCTCAAAATGTTTATTAAGGATATGCGGCGACAAGTAAGTTAATTATGCGGCGACAAGTTAATTATGCGCAAGTACTTAAACAACGCTGTTACCGATGAAGTTATTACATTGACCTTTATCTTGCTGGTTGCAACTCTGCCTATACATCCAAGAAGAAAAAAACCCTCAAATTTCTGAAGGGGTTAATTTTTATTATCAACACAAGCCGCAATATTTAGGACAGTACAATTGTGTTGGAGGAGAATCTTTTTTGGCACAGATATGTAAAGTGTCGTCCATCTGCTTACAATCCATTTCACCAGAGTCACGGCACGGGTCAGCTGTGGTGCCAGCATGTGGGGGCGGCGTGTGGGTGGAACCATCAGCTACGCAAACAGAAAAAAATACATGAATTCCGGCTTAATCTTTATTGTTCGGCACTTCAAGCGGCGCAGGAAGTATCAGTTATTGGCTGCTATATGTTATTTACCGGTTTTGAATTGTTAAAGTCGCTTTGCCGTGAAGTTTCCATACAGATATGGCAAAAAGTTAAGCATTTTGCATTATATTACGTTTGCATGTTATTTTAATTTTTATCAAATCATATTTTTATTAAAATAAAGTAAAGTGAACTCGAGTAATATTTATTCTATCAAATCAAGCATACAAACACTGAAGAGCCTTTAACAACACATATATTATATCACATAAAAATAAATAAAACATACCACTGCAGTATCCACAGTATTTCTGACAATTCTTTTTGGCGCCAAAAGTTCCAAGAGCACATATATTTTGTGTTTCATTTGCCAGTTTGCAGTCAACGTCTGGGTTATCCGAGCATGCTGGTTTGCAGAGACCGCAGTATTTAGGACAGTAGAGTAGTGTGGGTGGGGAGTTAGTCTGGGAGCAAATGTTAAGTGAATCATTCATTTTCTTGCAGTCCATATCCCCACTGTCTTTACACGGGTCTGCTGTTGCGCCAGTTGGTGGTGGTAATGTGGAATGAGTGGAACCATCAGCTTTCGTTTTAAACAAATACAGTGTGTGTTTTATCATTATTCTTACTATTTCATATAACAGTAGAAAATCCACCTTAAAGGAGTAAAGATATGACCTCAAAAGCTCAAATCCTTGGAGCCACTCAACTTATACCCCGGTTCTTTGGTTCAAAAAATCATGTCCTTTACTGCCGATTCTTGTGTTAAATAAAAAGATTTCATTATTTGACCAAAATAAAAATGTTTTGACAGGCTTTCTTTAACAACCCCATCACATTACATCATCTTGATGAGATTTAAATAATAGATATCGAAGAGGATTAGAACTGTTTAAGAATTAAAATAAATACTTATACTAAAACACAACTAAAATATCGAGCAATTCCTTAGAATAAATAAAATCATAAAGAATTATATGTTGATTTCAAATACATTACACTTACCTGAGCAGTATTCACAGAACTTTTGGCAGAATTTGGTTGCAGCGAGCGTCCTTAGAGCGCATATATTCTGTGTTTCATTTTCCTTTTTACAATCAACATCTGGAGAATCCATACAGCCACTTACTGACGCTGTTGTCACGTGTGGTGAACCCGATCCTCCGCTAGATGGCGTACATAAGCCACAGAATTTCGGACAGTATAATAAAGTGGGTGGGGAGTCTTTCTTGGAACATAAATGTAATGTATCGTTCATTTGTTTACAGTCTAAGTCCCCACTGTCTACACATGTATCTATTGTTGTTCCTGTGGGTGGTGGCAGTGTGGATCCGTCCGCTAGAAAACAGTAAGGTATAACAATAAAGATATACCGACCTACCGTTAGATTATTAGCTATAAAGACTTTTTGACAAGTTATATAACCTATATAAACGGTTGTTTGCATATATAACCCGATCCGCTAGAAAACAACCGTTTGTTTACGACCATATAACCTGTCAAGAATCTTTAAAATCAATTTATAATACAGCAAACCATATTTTAGAGGAAAAAGAAAGAAATTTCTTGATAAATTGACAGCAGTGTGTATATTATCAGTTATAAAGATTTTGACAGGTTATATGACCCTATATAAACGGTTGTTTGAATATAAAACCCGAACAGTTTTGATGGTATACAAAGAATGATTATTTTAGTTTAAATATAGAACAACCGTACAGAACCAACATATTATAGAAATATTTGCATTGTATAATATTTTATTACTATTATTTAGACATCAATCACTTTAACATTGTAAATCTTGTTGTATCATAAGCTAGTTTTATAATATCATATCTTAGATTCTATAACAATGAACATTTATCATTCATTTAGATCTGGACTGAATATTAAAATTACCAGAACAAAAACCACAATATTTTTGACAGTATTTGACAGCAGCCAGTGTTCTTTCTGCGCAGATGTTGTGAGTGTCGTCTGCTAGTTTACAATCAATGTCCGCTTCATCTTTACAAGAACTGTTGCTTGAATTTCCTACACAAATGTACATAGTAATCTAATTCAACTTATATATGATAATCTTGTGTATTGAATTAACAGATGTTATGAAAACAAGATGATTTTAAACGCATAAATGACAATTTGATCTTTAATTAACATGGTATAAGGAATTGATCTTTTTCAAAATGTTTGCTGTTCCATCTTAGACCTTGAATGTTCTTTTGATATCGATACCTTGTAAGTTTTAATGTGAAACCTTGTTGTAAGTTGCTATGTTGATAAAATAAAAAAGTACAAACCACTTTCACATAAATGTCTGTTGCACCCGGGTGTGTCACAGCACTCGTTGCAGATCTGTGTGGATCGTTTCCCAAGATTGCTCAGAATATCACATCTCTATATAATAAACAAAATTAATGAGCATGTGATAGACTTTTTGTGTGTAGAATTTCGTCTTTTTCTTAATGGGTATGAATTAAGGAAATTAACGACAGTATCAGATTGGATGCGACTAGTACAGATCAAAATTAACCAGCACATCCGCCATCATGAATACAGGAATGGTGCACTCTCAAAAATATGGCCATAAATCCAGAAAAGATAATTGGATCAAAATGTAAAATAAATAACATAGGCAATCTTTCTCTGCATATTGAAAATTCGAGTATAAATAATGTTCATTGTCAAAAGCTACTTGGGTTGCATATTGATAACTGTCTATCTTGGAAAATACATATTGACAAAACGTGTCTTAAATTAAGCTTGCTTCTAAAATATCTCTGCTGAAAAGAATTCAAATATTTCTTACACCTGAAATGAAACAATTATTTTATAACGCTTACATTGCCCCTATTTTTGATTATGGATGTATTATTTGGTCCCAATGTAACAAATCAGATCTAAATAGAATAACAAAATTACAAAAAAGAACCGCCAGAATTATTTTAAATAAACCAGTAAAAACAAATTCTCTTGATATGTTTCAAAATATGAAATGGTTATCTTTTCCATCTAGATGTAAATACTTTTCTGGAATTATGGTTTATAAAGCGATGAATGAATTAGTTTAATAATATTTTATTGCATATTTTGTACATGATTAATTTACACAATCTAACATCAATATCTTAAGCATGAATATACATGTAATGTACATACAAAAGGGTTGGACCAAAAGTTATACCAACATTATCTAGGGTCCTGGATGAATGAATTAATACCAGCATATATTTCTAATCTAATTCCGTTATCTCAAAATAAAACCTACTTACTAAGATCAATACATAAAAAAGATATTATGCATAAACGACCTAAAACAAATTATTTGAAACGTACATGTACTTATTATTATCTTAGTATGGAGTTATGGAACACTATTCCTTTAAAAATAAGAAATCTTTCAAGTCTTAAATTGTTTAAATCACATTTCAAACATTTATTATTATCTAGAGATGAATTATAGAAAATTTACCTATACTATAATATAATATTATGTCTGTCTTCTTTGTTGATTAAGATTTACTGAATGTTGTAATCTTTGTAATTGCTTGAATTTGTCCATTGTTATGTTTATGTTTTATTGAAGGCCTTGTTGAAAATAAGATTTTGCATTATATGTGTTGTATCTAATGCTTTGATATATTGTCTTAATAAGTTAACTTCGTTAAATAAAGAGTTTATTATTATTATTATTATTATTATTATTATTATTATTATTATTATTATGGTCTGCACTGTTCGCTCTTCAGTCAGAACATATCGTGAACATTTTCCCTAAAATGATGATCGGTCTCCAAATTAAAAGTTAGAAATGTTTATTCTAGGTTCTTAACATTTATGTTAGACTATTCATAGTTCAAACATATTTAGACAAGTTTTTTCCTAATTAAAAGATTATTGTTTTCCTCATATTTTTCTTAAATTCTATATATATTTCAGAAAGCTGTTTTACTAAAATCTATTTTATTACAGTGTAGAAACGTATTTTTTTTTTTACTTTTGACTATGCCAAGATAAATGAGAAACTGGAGAGAAAGAAAGACATTTACCAGTCTGAAATAAACATCGATCATTACCTGCTTTGTTTCACATCCAAGACTGTATTTTACCTCCATTTTATCACTTGCATACTCTTGTGCAATACATTGCTGAAATAAACAAATTTCAACACAACCATTTATTTGTACAAGCTTGTATATCGTGTGTTTTATTCATGTTCACATAATATGTACATATATGTACATTGTACCCACAACAGAGCAGCCTTAAATATACCAATTACACTACAGAAAACCAAATACGACATCTATTTAGCGTTCACTAAACGTGTTTCCGCCATAAATCGTGGATATTTAATTATTATTACTGCTGAAGAGATTGAATGCCGAAAAACATCGTTTATTATAGTATACGGTGTTGGTCGCCGTCCCTGAAAAATTGATCAGAACTACAACAATGCATAAACAAGGGCCATTAGTGATGACATGTGTCTCCTCATGATAGGCAATCGCATGTTGCAGCGACTGAGATGCAGGAGACCAAAAAATCATTAACAGGGCAAAACACATTTTTTATTTAAGGGCAATAAATAACTCTAGCTGAAAATATTTCAACAAAAGCAACTTGTGTATTATGCACAAGTACTTGTCCTACCAATCAAACATGTAAAGTTTCATTGAAATTGCATTAATGGTATAGGAGGAGTAGTAGGGGACACTTTATTAACACCTTTTCATCAAGGGCCATAACTGGGCCAAAAATCATTCAAGCGGAAAACCCGTGTAATATGCGCAAGTACTTGACCTACCAATCAATCCTGTAAAGTTTCATTGAAATTGCATCAGTGGTATAAGAGGAGTAGTCAGAACAAACTTTAAAAAATAAAAATAATTAAAGGGCTATAACTCCGACAAAATTCATTGAACCATAAAAAGCCGATAGTATGCACAACTAAACTTTGTATTTATCATTCCTGTAAAATTTGTAGTTTTTGAGAAGTAGTCCGGACAAGCTTTTGTACATCTTGCAACACACAAAAACACATTTTCTATTACAGGGCCATAACTCGGTCAAAATCATTCAATCGGAAAACCCGTGCAATATTCGCAAGGATTTAAGTTACAGATCAATCCTGTAAAGTTTCACTAAAAGTGGTAGTATAAGAGGAGTAGTCCGGACAAACTTTAAAAATAAAAATAATTAAAGGGCCATATCTTGGACAAAAATCATTGAACCGGAAAATACTGACGATATGCACAACTAGACTTGGTACTGATCATTCCTGTAAAGCTTGGATGACATTAACCAGTATATAGTTTATGAGGAGTAGTCCGGACAGTTCTTTGACAGACGGAAAGACAGACGACAGAGAAGTGATCCCTATATGTCGCCACTACTCCGTAGAGGCGAGACAAAACTATACAATCATATTTCTGAAAAAACAAACTTGATCATCACTTTTGTTCATTATTTAATTAAATGTCAAGTTGGTGCTTTCACCAGGCCTTTTCTTTGCTAAATGTTCATATATTTACCTCGCCATCAGCACATGTAACTCTGTTATGACAATCCTGCAAACTATCAACCTGATCACACTGGTAACATTGTGTACCTGGTGTTGTACCTACAATCAATAACACTTACTACATTCAATAACACTTACTACAGTCAATAACACTTACTACAGTCAATAACACTTACTACAGTCAATAACACTTACTACAGTCAATAACACTTACTACAGTCAATAACACTTACTACATTCAATAACACTTACTACAGTCAATAACACTTACTACAGTTAATAACACTTACTACATTCAATAACACTTACTACACTTAATACCACTAACTACAATCAATAAGACTTACTACAGTGAATAACACTTACTACAGTGAATAACACTTACTACAGTGAATAACACTTACTACGGTTAATAACACTTACCCCAGTCAATAACACTTTCTACAGCCAATATCACTTACTACAGTCAATAACACTTACCCCAGTCAATAACACTTACCCCAGTCAATAACACTTACTACAGCCAATAAAACTTACTACAGTTTAATAACACTTACCACAGTCAATAACACTTACTACAGTTAATAACACTTACTACAATCAATATTTGTTGAAAGTAACTTGTGGTGGTGATTAATCTATAGAATAAATAAATTAAAAAATAAAACCCTTTTTCTTTAAAATGATAATTAAGGTCCCAGTTCAAGAAATGTATCCTATTAGAAACCTGTAAAACATCTAAATCGATCTTTTGCAGAATATTAACTTAAAGTCTGTAGTTTTTGTTGTTACTGCTGCTACTTCTGCTGCTGCCGATGCCGTCCCGGCAACTGAAGAAGTATGGGCATTGCACACCGCTGAACAGTTTATAAGAAAGAGTATTATACTCACTATTGCCAGCTGGGCAGAGTTCTGCATTACACAAGTCAGTACCACAACATCCCTCGCACAAATGTAAGTCACTTCTCTTACCCTTAGCTGCTAACTGACATAACTAGTAAAATAATGAACGCTCTCTATATATAAGGAAGCATAGTATTTGATAGGTCATTTTTTCCCTGTAAATCATACAAAGAGTTTTGTCATGGATTTAAAGTTAAGTTTTTTTCCCCATTAATTCTTTTCCTTAATATCGCTAAGATGACCTCATGACAGTAACAAATAAAAATACTCTTAAAATGTGAAATAATATGTGTAAAAGGCGTAAAGCATTTGATCAATTACTGCTTGTGACAATTTACCTGAACTTTCTGACATCCTGAGTTATAAAACACCATTGACTCATCACCTATAACTTTCTCTGTGTGACATTCCTTAAACATAAAAATACTATTGACTAATACTGAATAAAGCCAAAAATTTAGCAACATTCAAACATTCAACATCTACACATTCAAATTAATTTGCAAGTGTAAATAACTCGGCGCTAAAATCACTATTTATGGAAGATTATATGCAGCTAGCTAACTTTTTAAATGAACACTGTAGATACTGGATGCAATTGCTTTAACAAAACGTTTGTCATTCAAACAAAAATAAAAGGAATTCGTATGAGGAGGTTCCGACCGCATTTACTTTATTTCCGTCTTGACTTCCGGTAAAACGTTGTTTTTTTGTAAAACGGGGGTTGATACTATTTGCCGAAATAGAAACGGCCAACAAAAAATTCTTGCGTAGTAGACTTACTTTATGAACACGTTCTAACCAAGTCAGCATTGTTCAACAACACTAAAAACAACTTTTTCGTTACACAATATGTGACATACACTTACCTCATCCGCGGCACAATGTACAACCATAGAACAGTAATGAGGATCCGTTACTCCAGAACACTGATGACATCTCAAACCTTAATATTTCATAAATTATGATTATTATTTTGGTAAATTATTTGTAACTGTTTTAAAAAGTAATTATACTTTAAACTGATACAGTTTCAAACTATTATCATATATGTCATTGAATGATCGTACATTTCCACACATTCTCAAACAGTGCAGACAATGTTAACTGATAGCTTGGATTTACAAAAGATATACAAATACTTCGTTATGGTTAGTAACAGATAGCCAGCCAATCTGTACTTCAGTACTTAATTTGATTTACAATTTAATAAACAACTTAACATACGTATTTGATTATATAATATTATTACCTTGGTTTTCCTTTACAGAACAGAACAGCACCAGCACGGACAGAACTGAAATATTAACAGATCATAATATATTTTGTTTATTGTATATTATTTAAATATATGACTAGATAATTTAAGATATAGAATTATATATGATAGGTTCAGTTATCTAGCGGTTAAAATCGCCAAATTCAAAACACATGCCCATCACCGTTGACGATAAATTGCAATATTGCAATTTGCTAGAGGTAGGTATGTGGTTCTATACAGGAAACCGCTTGTATCTGAAACAATACGCTCGTACATGCATGGGTACCTGACGTCTTCATCCTCCACAGTCGCCATGTGACAAAAAGTCAATCAATCAATCAAAATAGAAATGTATAAAATAAATAAAATCAATTAAAATAATACAATGTATATCCAAGTCTTTAACGATATTTGGAACAATGTTAAATGATCTTAAAAACATTAATTGTCAATTAGGAAAATAATTGTTTAACATTACCCACAGACTTGGCTGACAACTCCATTATTAGAAGGCACATATATACATTGTCCATATAGATAATGCCATCAGCTAGACTTCAAGTACTGTAAACTATTACATTATTGTTATCTTTGAATTCCCGTTTCGCAATGGACAACAATTAACGGTATTTTACACTATATACTGTAAATGTCATTGGCTCTTAATTAAAGCCCAAAATTCGCAACCCGTGTCTAAAAATCACACAATGCTAAAGCTAATACGATGATCATGTAATACTAAATTAAGTACAATAATGTGTATATGTGCAAGTTTCAATATTTTAAAGCTGGTATTATGATCCTAAATATCTAAATTTGGCAAATATAAATGTGCTTGTAATTCCCTTAAATAGTTTGGCTCATCTGGAGGCATGCAGCTTTAACGTGTTGCAGATGTACATTGAATTTATTGTTGTTTTCAAAGAAAAAAAAACGATTTTTTTTTTTTAAAAAAGTACGCAAATATTGACTACTTTATAGATTAGTCTAAGGAGTACATCAACTGATAAGGACTGAAAAATTGAAATAACCTCAACTATCATAAATCGTATGTAATATTTCAGTATTTTGATAAAGACTCTTGACCTAAATTCTTATATTTTTTATGCTTGGTTTGTCGTGGTTCATTTACAGAATCCAGTTATTATTAGTTGTAACACAACATAATATGAGCCGCACAATAACAAAACCCACATAATGGCTTTGCGACCAGCATGGATCCAGACCAGCCTGTGCATCCACGCAGTCTGATCAGGATCCATGCTGTTCGCTATCAGTTTCTCTACTTGTTATAGAGTTTGTAAGCGAACAGCATGGATCCTGATCAGACTGCGCGGATGCGCAGGCTGGTCTGGATCCATGCTGGTCGCAAACACATTATGTTGGTTTTGTCATGACGCGGCTCAAATAATATTTAGGAGAAAGCATGTTCCCAGATGAAACAAACTTCGTGAATTCGTTATAGAACTTTTTTGTCTGTATTTAAGAAACTTGACTACTACCAACATTCTTTAGGACTGTAGGTCTTTATTCCGGACACGTGACTACACTGACATTCATTCGAAACTAGCAGCATTCTTTCTAGAACTATTTGTTTGTATTCCCTTCATGTGATTACACATCGTCGGATACCCACGATTAATAAACATGTCACATAACATACAATCAATGAATGAATGTTAATGGTTCGGCCGTGGGTATCCGACGATTGTGATTACACTGACAGTCAATCGCTACCACCAATGCTCTTTCTAAAACAGATTTACTCTCAGTCTGTATTCCTTACATGTATGTGATTACACTTACACTTGAACTATTAATGAAGCAAACATATTTTTGGATAAAATTGATGAATAATAATACAAAATACAAAAATAACAAGCTCAATTTTTGGATCAAGTATTAAACAAGCATATCTTGCAGAGTGACAATATTTTTTTCTTCAAAATTTCATAAAGCAACCTTTCAAATTCGATTTATTTATAGTTAAATTTAAATAAGTAATACAGAATTTTTTGTTTTAATTTTAATGCTGATTCGTTATCTTTAAATCTTAGAGAATACAAGGACTGACAAGGGCATAAATTGGAGAGCACCGTGAAACGTTGAAGATAGAATTCTGAAATTTTAACTACAATGTCACAAGTTTGAACTATGAAGTCCGAAGATTAGATTAGAGTACAACTTTTGATTCTTACTATATTATGATCTACTTTCATCCACAGACACTTGGGATGTGGAGCTTAAAATCCAAATAATTTGTATATCAATAAAACTTATTAACAAAATAGAGGATATTGAATGAGTGTACGTTCAATAGGTCCTTCTGAATTTATTGAACGAGTTTAATAAATTTATAGCGAGCATAATATTATTTTATTCAATGAGTTCAATAAATTCAGTAATGAACTTACATGAATTTAATATTCTTTTCATTACATACCTAAAATAAAGATCCATTACAGTGAAAAAGAGCCATTTGTCTTTGACACGCCTACAATATAACGCTAACATTAAATGCGTCTTTACACTACATGTATGTTTGCATAACGCAAATGACGTCACGCACCATCGTGCAATACCATTTTTACGGAGTTTTTTTTCTCTCAAAATCGCGTTGTCGTTCTTTCGTCTTGTCGTCTTGTCGCTAGCGACAACAAACAAAAGCGCCAAACAGCACGTTGTCGCACTGTCGTCTTGTGTCCTGTATCTAGCGAAGCACGCTAAACGGCGCGTTGTCGTGCGGCGCGTTGTCGCCCTGTCGCTTGGCTTATAAGCCAATCCTTCTACCGAGTGACAATGTGACATCGCGACACAATCGCAACTACTCGGCCCTTTCCGTCAGTCTTCGGATAAGGCCATCGAACACAATAGTATGAATACATAGAACGGATGCGGTATTTCGGTCTTACCTACGCTAAGAAACTAAACATGTAAACAAATAGTAATTTAATACTGGGAGTTGTTGACAAGTTTATTTCCAATATATGTAGTAAAAGTCCACCTAAAATAAGTGAATTCATAGGTACAAAAGCAAACAATACATTATTTATATATTTAATATTATGGCTGTAGAAACCAAAAGTACAAAAAACCAACCTGTTGACGTTTAGTCGGATTTGTTTAAAATTGAACATCAGTGGGCATATTTAAATTACAAATTGCTGTCACACATATTTTCAAGCATAAGAGTACATTAGATGTCAAATATATTATGAGAAAATTGTATCTTAAGATAAATGAAATAGCTCTTGAAAATGTAACTGATCAAAAAGTCTTGGGTATCTGCATAGATAACAACTTAAAATGGCACTTGCAAATTGACAATGTTTGTAAAAAACTTAACGGAAAAATTGCCTTATTGAAAAAGATATCGTATTTTTTGCACTTTGATATGAAATTATTGTTTTACAATGCATATATATTGCCCATTATGGACTATTGTTGTATTATATGGGGTAAAGGAAACACAAACTACATAAATAATGTTTGTAAATTACAAAAACGAATTGCTAAAATCATTTTACAGCAACCACAAAGATCTCCGTCAAAAAATCTATTCGAAACTCTTAAAGTTCTGGTTACCGTTCCTTGACAGATGTAAATACCACACGGCCATGCTTGTTTTTAAAACTTTAAATAACATGGCACCGACTTATATGACAGAACTGATGACTTTATCCGACAACAAAATATATAACTTAAGATCTAGGTCACGAAAATATATTGTATTATGGACAAGACCTAAAACAAACTATATTAAAGACACATTTTCTTATTATGGCATGAACATTTGGAACAATATACCTTTAAATATTCGTAATGTTAATAACCTTAAATGTTTTAAAGAAAAATACAAAGCATATCTTGATGTTCATATAAATGAATGAATGAATGAATGAATGAATGAATGAATGAATGAATGAATGAATGAATGAATTAATTAATTAATAAATGAACGAACGAATGAACAAACGAACGAATGATGCAATATACGTATATGTTAAAACAAATTGTTGAGTGTCTGTCGAAAGTATATGAATTGTAATATTCTAAATATTACATATTATACATTCATTTTTCTACCTATGCATGTCCTGTTGTTGTTGTTGTTGTTTTCTATTTCAGAAGGCCACATTGGAAATAAGATATATATGATTGTTATTGTATGTTCTTAATGTGTAACCTTCTTTAAATAAAGATATTATTATTATTAGTATTATTAGTATTATTATTATTATTATTATTATTATTATTATTATTATACATTCGTTTTACATTATCTCTGTTTCTGTTTACATCTGAAACCACGTGGTAGAACTACTTTCAATCCGTATTGTTTCCGAGGTTATTATAGATAATAGCCGAGGCAGTTCCGAATGATCGCGACAACACGCCGCGCGTTTGGCGTGCATCGTTCGAAACAGGACGACAAGACGAAAGTCCGACAACGCGCCGTTTGGCGCTTTGTCGTGTTGTCGCTAGCGCCAACTATACGCACAAAAGCGTATCAAATCAGCCACCATAGGAATTTCAACCTCTATGTTATAGACGTTTGTATGCAGTCGGATCATGTGTTCAGCAGTCAGTAATAATTAAATTGGCGATAAATAGTAGCGTACGTATTTGTTGGAATTTACGATTGAAATCAGGTCTAAAACGCATTTGTTGTATTCAGTAAAAAATATAAACTTCCTTCTTTTTGTATTTGAGTGGTCATCCATCAACTCGAGCTGCTTTTAGAAAAATTGAAGATTGAAATGTAAACTTCAGGAAAAAAATCATATTTCAACAGATTTATTCAAAGATAAACATAATTTTAAAAAATGAGAGTGTGATGTGACGACTAGACTGGTTTGTAGAGGTCGCTGTTTAGAGGACGTAGTGGTTTGTTACAGTTGTCACTGATACAACAGAATGTACACCGAAAGTCGATAAACTGCTGATCGGTAGCGTCAAAATTACGACACTTGTCCTCGTCCGATGTTCCCAGGTACCATTCTCTATAACAGGTGTTAAAATCTCCACATCTGTGTCATAAATAGACAATATGTAGGTCAATAAAGTAAACGAAAACGTGTTGCGATTTATTTTTCATATAAGATAACATATATATCTTCATCTAGAATTTCTATCTGATATTTTTAAAATCACTGGTAGATTAATTTTTTACCGAATGCCCAACTGAAATATTATTTCACACAAAAAAATGAAGATCTTTTCTTGAAAAAATAAAAAATAAAAAACACATTCCGTCCTAAAGTTATAATTGCTTTGGAACTGATTCTTTTTTCGCCATGCATTGTTTTCTTCTTTTTGGTATTTCAAGCAGTATTGTTTTCTCGTTTTTCTTTTCGGAATTTACAAGTTATGTATAGTGTTAAAAAAAATTAGCTAAATATAAAACAATTATGAATTTCATAAAAGCTTATTTCATCACACTATGTACTGTATGAATTTCTTATCTTAAATACTGTTACACATGAACCTAATCCAATTTAAATAAGATTTGAAAGGTGGCGGCCATATATTTCCAGCAATTCAAGAGAAGTCATTATATAATTGTAATATAATTCTTGACTTACGCTCTATTTACGGTTCTAGTGCCATCTAGCTTGTTCGTTATTGTATTGATACAGTAATTGTTCGGTGGAGTACAGGCTGTAGGTTGGAACAGCTTTTCACATAGAAATGGTGGTCCAGAGCATACCGCACATTGCGCTATAGAAAAGAAAATATAGGACATAATTTATAAGTAGAAAAAAATGAAAATATATATAATTAAACTACTTGTATTGATTAACAGTTGCATAACTATTTGAGAGGCCGGCGCCCAAAAGGGTAACATATAGAAAGAAAGGATGACGAAGAACAAAGTACCACTGTATCAACATTTAATGCTTAATAAAAGAAAAAGAGAAGTATGTAAATAAATGTTCTTCTTATAAAAATATGTTCATTTGGAATAAATGTAAATTGTTACTTGTTGTTGGTGGGAGTGTTTTAGGTGGAGGACTCGTTGTAGTAGACTGTATGGTTGATGACTTTGACGTCATCTGTGTGGTTTTCGTCTGTGTTGTTTGTGAACCTGGATAAATATATATATTAAGAATAACTGTTTTACAACACAATGTAAACGAGCAGACAAAATTGATATACATGTATTCATTCCTAAACAAAGTCAGTAATGTATTTGTTATTTGTATTTCAAAAGAAAAAAGCGACTAAAACCTGTATGTTCCTGACCATTGTTCTTAACTTATATATAACTTGAAACAAAACGGCGTTCATGATTACTTTGACTTGATGTGAACACATTTGAAATTGTTGATGTCACATGGTTGGATTCATTTGCTCCACTAGATGGCGTGCATAAACCACAAAATTTCGGGCAGTATAGGAGTGTGGGTGGGTCGTCTTTCATGGCACATATATTCAGATTTTCGTTCATCTCTTTACAGTCGATATCTCCACTGTCTATACATGTTTCTGTTCCCATCGGCGTCGGTAGTGTGGATCCATAGACTATAAAAACATTAAAAAATCATTGATTATTCTTTATGATATTGCAATAATGAAAAGCTACAGCAAACTTTAGTTCAAGTTGTGACACTTTTACTAGACCCATTCTTTCATATTGGGGCTTTAATTCAAGAAGAGTGTACGAAATATTAAAATTCGAAGGACTTATTAAAATTTTCAGTAGACGAACTCGCATACCATGTGGTCTAAGAAAATTACCACTACAATACTGGACCCACACTAAATAAAAGTATGTGAATGTATTCTTAAACACCTTGATGTACGGTTAAATCGCAAAATATATTGGTGACACAGGCTCACCACTTTTAAGGTCAGCAAGTTGAGGATTAAAACATTTTCTAACAAGAAATATGTCTGAAACGTATATACAATATATTTCAGACATATTATATATTTAAGATTTGATGATTTTTCGAAATTGTAATTGTCAATCAAAATAGTTTGTCTCTCCCTTTGTAAATAACTATTATCCTCTAACAAATTTTGATTGTGCAATATTGATGATGTATAAAAGAATACCACCTGTACAATAACCGCAATATTTCTGGCAGAATTTGACAGCTGCTGGAATTCTTTCTGCACATATGTTATGTGAGTCGTCTGCTAGTTTACAGTCAATGTAGATCTCATCTCTACAATTTAGAGCTTTGAAAAGAACAATATTTTTCTTTACCGATCACAAATACATTACGCGCCATGACAAAACCAACATAGTCCGTTTGCGACCAGCATGGATCCAGACCAGCCTGCGCATCCGCGCAGTCTGATCATGATCCATGCTGTTCGCTTACAAACCCTATTATATAAGTAGAGAAACTGATAGCGAACAGCATGGATCCTGATCAGACTGCGCGGGCGCAGGCTGATCTGGATCCATTCTGGTCGCAAACGAACTATGTTGGTTTTGTCATGGCGCAGTTCATTAATATGTTTTATTAAGATACAAGATGTTTTTTTTTAATTTCCTTCCTTTGGTACAAGGCGTATGCCATTTCACCAGCAGAACTTTATTGGTACTTTAGAAAACTAACAAAATGGTTGTCAAATAGAAATTTTACACTAATATAAATATACCCGTTAAACGTACCATAGATCAAAGAAGTTATATTTTTAATGTTGTTGCCATCATGTTCTCACCTACCTGTAGATGTTACGGATGTTGTTGAAGCAGACTTTGTATTTCCTCCATCAGAGGGCATGCATAAACCACAGAATTTCGGACAGTATAATAAAGTGGGTGGGGAGTCTTTCTTGGCACATAAATGTAATGTATCGTTCATTTGTTTACAGTCTAAGTCCCCACTGTCTACACATGTATCTATTGTTGTTCCTGTGGGTGGCGGTAGTGTGGATCCATCCGCTGAAAACATCAAAGGCCCATTATCATGATTATGCTTTAGAAACGCTGTAATATTTATTTCTCAAAACGTTTTCTATCTTTGGTATTATGTCACAGTTTCCAAAAAATGCGCATTTGCGCATAGATTACTTTTTGCTCTGATTGCATATATTTAGTGAATTAGAATTTTGTTTTGAAGTCAAAAATTTGCAAAAGCTACAATTACGACACATCACTGCAAGTTCAGTGCTACTTTCTTCTAACATGCTCTTTTATTAAAACATATCAAACACGTTTGGCATTTCTAAAGAATTAAAAAAAATATAAATTCTGAGGCATAATGTTCCTTTATCGGAACATATGAGATCAAGATAGATTTTAAAAATAGTAATTTGTATACCTCTAGACCATTATTACGTATAAACAGCCTTACTCGTAATGTTTATTTTTAAATTGGTACATTTATAATTTTAAGAAATTGCAATGGTTCTAACATTGCAAATATTTTACATTTAATAAATATTTCCCTGTATCTCAGATATTTGTTTCTAGAACTTTTACCAAGAACGTAAATTTTATACACACAATACCTGAACAAAAACCACAGTATTTTTGACAGTATTTGACAGCAGCCAGTGATCTTTCTGCGCAGATATTGTGAGTGTCGTCTGCTAGTTTACAATCCATGTATATTTCATCTTTACATGAACCGCCGTCAGTTATTTCTTTAATTGCAACAAAATGATGTTTTTGTGACTGTTCGGGTCAATATAAAAAAATATATCATTTTCAACATCAATACCAAATCTAATTTTCTCAACATCAATACAAAATATTTTTTTAAACATCAACAGGAAATCTACTTTTTCAAAACATCATTACAAAATCTGATTTTTAAAACATCAATACAATACATGTATCTAATTTTTCCAACATATCATTTCACCATTTCTTCGGGTTTTTCTTACTTATGTGACGCCAAATTAAGTCTTACCTGAAGAACCACTGGAGACTGTTGTTGTCACGTGATATGTTACATTGCCTTCGCTTTGAGATGTACATAAACCACAGAATTTCGGACAGTATAATAGCGTGGGCGGGGAGTCTTTCTTGGCACATAAATGTAATGTATCGTTCATTTGTTTACAGTCTATGTCCCCACTGTCTATACATGTATCTATTGTTGTTCCTGTGGGTGGTGGCAGTGTGGATCCGTCCGCTAGAAAACATTACAACAACTGATATGTAAATAATGAAAACTTTGAATTATTATTGCATTTCCTCATTGCATTTTAGCATTTTATACGGGTTTCAAAAGCTTCTCGTTTGATCTTGTATATACCGATGTTCTTATATCATAGTTTCTTGCACCTTTGACAAGAACAACGAACAATTTTCACGAAGTCTTTATTAATTTCCACCTTTCTAATATCAAACAGCAAATGATATAGAATACTTTACAAAATCTTCAACTCTTTTTCCTAGACAATTTAGTTAAATTTCTTCATGCAGATTGCGTCAAATTTGTGATAATTCTATGTAAATGAAATATTGTTTAACTTTGTTTCACTTGAGCGTCAACTGCATCTGTAAACCTACGAGTAAGGAGCCTATTCACAAATAAAATAAATTTACCTATAGAATCTTGTTATCAGTTTTGTGACTGACAATGTTGTCAAGTATACAAGCTAAATATGAACTTAAGCTATTCCAATGCACCTTTATATCTATGACATATTTCTACATTTCTACCTTTGTCGAATTGCTAAGAAGCGTCCTGGTGGCAATTTAACATGTTCTATATAAAAAAAGAACTCCTACGTATGAGATAACAAAGCTAAATTAGGAGTTTATAAGTAGGAGTTATAAGTAGGAGTTATAAAGTCCTACGTAGGAGACACAAACTCCTAATTAGGCTTTTAAATCTCCTACGAAGAAGTAACAAAGTCCTACGTAGGAGTTATAAACTCCTAGTTAAGCTTTGTTATCTTATACGTAAGAGTTATCATTTTTAACAGAACATGTTAAATTGGCACAAGACGCTCCCGTAAATTACCGTAAATATATATATAAAAAAAGTAAGAAAAGATAACCTGTGCAGAAGCCACAATATTTTGGACAGAGTTTGACAGCGGCCAGTGTTCTTATTGCACATATGTTGTGAGCTTCGTCTGCTAACTTACAGTCAATGAACGCATCATCTCTACATAATATTTTGGCATGAGTTTCTGCAAAAAATGTTTGAAATAATAATGAGTTTTTTGTTTGTTGTTGTTTTTGAGTAATGTAATCAGTGGCAAATTTTTACAATAAAAGGAGATTAATTCTTCAAACAGTTTTAACAATGAATTGTGCGGTAATTGTTTGAAGATTAAAGTCAACTTTTCATAAATATGTCAGTCAATAAAAAGCAAAATTTATATGTTTAAAATTAGCGTACACAAAGTGACGAAACGACACCTTGAATTCACGAAATGTTTAACTTAAGATCACAAATGAAAACAGATGTAGGTCTATGATTATAGTTAATTCATTTATAAGATTTTAATGATGCATAGAAATATTTGGTTTTACTAACATATAAACTATTTCATTCAATTTTATACATTAACAAATTACCATTAACTGGCGTTCCATAAGCTGACACAAGGAGAAACAACACTGGCAAAATAAAGCCTGAAAAAGAAATCTTTAATATCATAAAGTATGAACATTTGCCGGTTTTCATTTTGTTAGCACTCTCGGTCGCGATTGATGTGTAGGGCCTACAACTATAACGCGACAAAGGCATAAAAAATTAAAAAATGCAGCAATGCAAAAGGTACGAGAAAGTTTTGACTTTGTTGTGTGGCGAGAGCAAATACACTATGGAAGTACATGTAATGCATAATCGCGACAAAATTTTGTGTCGTTCTTTCGCCATTGTTTTTTCGTCTTTTCGACATAAAAATGCGAAAGCACGAAAAAACGAGAGATTGACTTTGTTGTCCCTTCGTGTTTGTGCATTTTGTTGCAAAAAAAAGCAAAACTACAACATAACGTTATTTTAGCCACCATACATTTGATATGCAAAAATAAAAAAAAGTTTAAATAGTTGTGCAGAATCTTTAATGAACATTATCCAATATCAAGTTTTCAATAAATTTTTCATGAGAGATTAACTTAATGAAATTTGAAACCGAGTTATGGATCATCCTTAGTATTTCTATTTTTATAATGAAATGTACACGGTACAGTTTATTGTTTTATGAAATTAAAGGAGAATATTAATAAAAACAACAAAAACAACAAAAAAACTTACCATCATTCGTGTGAAAGTATTCCATTATATTATCTTGTTAGTTAAGCACGTGACTTACAGGAAGCGTTTTTTCTGTCTTTTCCATCTTTCACTCGTATAAACTTGACAGCAGATAATAATGCGAAATTCCTTATCTTCCTTATACAGCATATAGAATTAAAGGAAAAGGGAAGTTACTTGTCTGACTTAATTTAATTGTAAAAGGAGGTCATAGACATTCTGATAAGAATAATTGGCGTTTGTCGGACTAGTAATCTAAGGATTGCTTACCGCGTGGGTTCAAACCCTGTCAGGGACATGCCGTTGTTTCCTTGAGCAAGGAACTTTACATTCATTGCTTAGTACTGGTTGGTTCCAGGAACGGATTCGAGAGTGTTTCAATAAGCTTATAGCTTCCAACACAATCAATCTAAAATAAATTTGTATAAACTAATTGGCGTTTAGAGAAAATATAAAAAGTACAAGACAGGGATGTTTGGTAATCATGCAGACATGTCACTGAATGTAAAACTTGAGACCAAGGCCATGAGAAAATGACAGTCAAATTTATTAATCTATTAAGGGAGACGCATTGTCACAGAAGTTTAGTGTTAAAAAGGATTATAACTCAAACAAAACTGAATTAATTCACACGCGAAACCCCAGGTGCCCAACAATAAATATACATGCTTATAGTAAGCTCCAGGGTTATTTACATCTGTGTTAAACAACAGTTAAAGTCGTTACAAACCCTAATTTAGAATAATATGGTTTTCTTTAGGCCGTTCACATATAAATTCACCGTGGCTCGCTTAGGAAGCGAGAGGTCTGGAGTTCAAATCCCGGTAAAGGCAACTCATTTTTTTTTCAAATTGTTTAAGTCAAATAAACATTGGATTGAATATCAGTGTTGCAATTTGTCTTATAGCCAATTTACTACAATGAAAACGCTGGAAAGCATTGGTGGCACTATACATATAATGTCACAACCTGTACCTTTCTTACATTCTGAGACCCACACAAATTCAGCGCCTTCTGTGCTTTCATTAAGTTATGCACTGCACAAGGCAAATAAACGAAGGGCAATAAATCTACATATACTGAAGATGGAGTTATGGTTATTATACACTGCACTTCCTCTCTTTGCGCTTGACCATTGTATGAAGTTGTAATTAATTCCAACTATTAGTTTTTGAGGTTTTGCACTGGACAAAAAAGTAACAAAGGGCAATGACTGTAATTAGTCCAAATAGTGTTACGGTTCTTGTGCACTGCACTTCATTTCACTGCCCTTGACCATTGTATGAAGTTTCATTTAATTCCAACCATTTTTTTTTAAGTTATGCACTGGACAATAAAAAGTAACAAAGGGCAAACAAATTTAAATGAGTCAAGAAAGAGTTATGGTTTATGTGCACGGCGCTTCCTTTCATTGACTATTGTATGAAATTGTATTGAATTCAAACAAGTAGTTCTCAAGATATGCTCTGGACAAGCAAAAAGCAATGGAAAAGTAACAAAAAGCAAATACTTAATAATTACTCTGAAGAGAGTAATGGTTTTTGTTCTGTCAATCTTATGACTCTAGGTCAAATATTTTTTGGACTACATGTGCCACAAGTTGAAAACTAAAAATCAACAAAGGGCCATAATTCTGTTAAATTTGGTCGCAGCAAAAATACCTACCATCTACACATTAAGATCGTTCATCCCTGGAAGTTTAAGCAAAATCTGCCATCCGGTTTAAGAGGAGTTGCGTTCACAAAATTTCTACATAGTATATAGTGAAAAAAAATCAACAAAGGGCCATAATTCTGTTAAATTTGGTTGCAGCGAAAATTCCTTCCTGGACTACCATCTACACATTAAGGTTGTTCATCCCTGTAAGTTTAAGCAAAATCTGCCATCCGGTTTAAGAGGAGCTCTGGACAAGGAAAATGCAACAGACCGCTGGACCGACCGACCGAACGACCAACCAACCACCGGGTGACTCCTATATACCCCCCAAAAACTTTATTTCGGGGGTATAATTACTGCCAAATTGCCAGAAAATTAGACACACATATTCCAAGATAAAGATCTGTAAACTTCGACTGATGGGCAATAGCAATTTGGGTAAACTCAGCAGGGATAACAAACAAACAAGAAGTATATTATGAATTTATTACCTGTTTTCTGACTGACTATATACAATACTACCATAATCAAAAAGACAAAAAAAATCAAAATACAGCACAAACAAAAACACTCATATGCTAATATAGTTTTAACATATTAATATATAGTGTACATGTACATGAAAATTGAAATTAACAAATAAAAGTTGCTTTTATTCTCTTTTAAAAATCACAGACATAATAATTTATCACCTTCAAATCTATATGATTTAAACTGTTCATTTAAACTGTTATAAAGAGCAAGGTCTTTATTTCATTACATGTAAACAAGGGAGATAAATACTTCCTAAAATACAAGTTATCTTTCTTGTGTCATATTTTTAACATGAAATAAGCGATCTGAATACTCACATGTTAATGTCACACAAATTGCTATAATCAAAATAAAATCCCAACTTATACACAAGTTCAAACTCTTTAACAGAACAAAAAACTTCTTTACTGCATGACATCACATTACAGTAATATTTGATGAATAATAATGTCTTAACAAACTTTAGATTGAACAATGCACCTTAATGCAGAGGTATTTAACAATACCACTTGGTTTTTAGTGATTGTTTCATTCATATTAAATCAAATTTAAAGCAAAACAGCTTTATATTTGGTACAACTTGTTGGTAATCAAGACATGACACCAGCCAGTAGATATATAAACATATGACACTAGCCAGTAGATATATAAACATGGCACTAGCCAGTATATATTCAAACATGACACTAGCCAGTATATATTCAAACATGGCATCAGCCAGTAGATGTATAAACATATGACACTAGCCAGTAGATATATAAATATGACACTAGCCAGTATATACATAAACATGACACCAGCCAGTATATACATAAACATGACACCAGCCAGTATATATATAAACATATGACACTAGCCAGTAGATATATAAATATGACACTAGCCAGTATATACATAAACATATGACACCAGCCAGTAGATATATAAACATATGACATCAGCCAGTAGTTTTATAAACATATGACACTAGCTAGTAATTATATAAACATATGACACTAGTCAGTAGACATTAACATATGAAACCATTTTATATGTAAATAGTCATGGAGTTAGGAAAGAGGATGGTGTGGGTGTATAAAGGAAACAAAACAGGTGATTTAATATAACAAAATTTAATGTTAACCAATATGATACACTATGACACTTGATCTCATTTACTGAGCTAGAAAATAAGTTTGAAGTTTTGGAAGCTTCAGAAAAACTATGAGGAACTATCATATATGTCAAGATTGAGAGATGTGTGATTGCAACAAAATAACACTTATATATTCAATGTGTTATTTGACTTTGAGACAATTATTTTTTTCATTTTTATCAAGTCTCGGACAGCTTTTTTATTTTAGGAAACAATATATATATGTGTATAACGCCACTCACTTGTTGAAAAGAACTTTTACCATATAGTATTACTTTATATAAATTAAACTGTTTTAACAAAATAACCTGTTTTAAAATGAGAACTACATAATGATAGTTGGAGACAAAATGCTAAAACAACAGAGTACCAAACACTGTAAAATCATAAATTTTTACAAGGAATTAAATATCCACAATTTTACAAATAAAAATTCACTAAGTATCTTTATGATACTTAGTGATACTTAGTGAATTTTTAGTGGTTTAATCTCAAAATTTTGACTGAAAGGATCATTATGGGAAATATCTGCCTCTTATCTGATTTTACATTAGTAACATAATTATGTTGTCAGAATGTATAGGTGACAAGAGACCTGAAACTATTATTGTTAGGTCTGTAAGTTAAAAAAACATATTCATTAAAAAATTACCTCACTTCTGCTATATTTAAAATACCTCAGATGTTCTCTTACCCAAATAATTTATCAACAATAATCTCAAATCATGTAGGTCAATTCTTGCAAATTTATACATTTCATTATATTTTAGGCATAATTACTAAGATCTAAGCAGGAATAGAGGTATGGCTAAAGCAGTAACCCATATACACTGTACAGAAGATATATATTATCTACTTCTATCTTAGCTATAATTATATATAGGGGTTAATAATCTTAATAATCTATGTGGCAAACTTCTGGCAGCAAAACACTTGACATACACTTGAGAATTATTCTCATATTATTTTATATCCATACAAAGCTAGATCCTTTGTCTCCAGACATGATCAGACCCCTGACATATCATTCATCTATAAAAATATAAGTTGAATTTGCTTACTGGTTAGTATATGTCAAACTCTAAATCAAATACGAGTTTGCAGTTTGAAAATACTGCATAACCCTAAAAGTCTGCATAACCCGAAAAGTGGTCTTATATAATTTCATAAGAGATACACAGCAAAATTTGCTACCCCAAACTTGTAAGCTTCACAGTTTAAGACCATACATGTATGTTTATCAGTTAACAAACATTTATAACAAGTTCTCTTGATTAAGGTAATTACAGATTTAATCATTTAAATTATGGTATATAATTAGCAACAATACAATATTAGGTAATTTGGTATATTTTCATAAATTACAATAAGAAAGCTGTTTATATACTGTTCAATTTGTATAGTATAACATTGAATTTCTTTATGGGTAGTGTTTAAATTGTGTTATCTATATAAGATAAACAAATGGACAAATTCAAGCTATTTTCAACCCTTAGCCTGCTGAATCTGTGTAATGGATTTGCCCACCTTTGAATTTTGGAACAGTCCATTCAGAGTTTAAGGAATTTCAATGCAAAAAATACAAATATTGATTTACCAATCAGAATAGAGCCTGGTTGTAGTACACGAATGTACCAGCAGGCCTGGCTGTATACTGGTGGCAAAGGCTACTCACATTCAGTTCCAGCATGTTATGGGTAAACTTCACATATAATACAATCATATCATAGTAAATTGCATGGTAATATTTTACGTTTAAAGCACTTTCTTAAAGCTTAAATATAACAGATATAGCAAGAGATAAAACATTCAAAATGTGTACACCCTTATGTAAATTTATTATCTTTGTTCACAATCAATAAAACTTCAAATACACAAAAAAATACATTGATATAGATAACAAAAGTTGCAAGAAAAAAATGAAAACAAGATAACTTGTTTGGCCATCGGATCTTACAATCTTTTCTAAATTTGGGTCAGTTAATAATTCAGCAATAATTTATTCAATCTTATCTCTCAGTAAAGGTAAAATATTTCCTTGTTTTTAAAACAAGTTTTTAAGATATATGATTTTATAACAGTCAATATATATTAATGTCATCAATCTAAAATGCAATAAAGCCAATAAATTATTACACAATACTCACATTTGTATAGAGTCTTAAAACATGCACTCCTTGTTCAGGGCATCCTGTGTAACAAACTACTAGTCTGTCTTTCTAAATTCACAAGAAATGTTTATATACATGCTGGAACTGACAGTAACAAGTCTATGTCACCAGTGTAGAGCTAGGTAAGCCTGACATTTATGAAGTCTGACCAGGATCTTTACTGTTTGGTAACTTAATCATTGTATTTTGATACTGAAATCCTATACAATTTAAATGGACTGTTCTAAATTCACAGCTGGGCAAATCCATTACACAAATTTAGAAGGGGTTTAACCTTTATAAAATATTACTTTCAGATTTATGACACATACATTTCTATACATATATATTGAACTAGTTTATGCCAGATTAGAGACTTTATGTTTGCATGATATCCTTACATTACAATTACCCTTAAAGCTGCACACCTCCATATGAGCAAAAATATTTCATGAAAATCAAATCTGACAAAATGTATTAAGATTTAAGAAAAGTTAAAGATTTAAGATCCAAGCAATAATTCAAATGTTATGTGCAATTAATGACTGATTTTGCAGTATTTTTCACCATTTTTCTACTGCGTGACTAATCCAGTAAGTGTTATTTTTGCATATTTTGACATCTTTTTTGGTAATTTACATGGATTGTAAGTGCCATAAATTTGTAAATTCCTTTCTTTGTTGACTTCACAATATTAACTATTAAAAACATTTTCAAAATGTTCATGAAAAATTAGCATGAATCTGGAGGCATGCTGCTTTAAACAAACAGAGTAAGACTTTCATTTGCTCAGTGACAAAATAAGGTGATATATCAAATACTGGAAACTTTTCAACATTTAACATTTTAAAACAATCATATTGCTTTTCAGAGAGAGGAAATCCTAGGAACAACATATAAAACTTAACAAAAATATATTTTATCAAATGTATATAGCTTTATTGACAGTATTCTATATAATTATAAAATCTGAATGGAATGCATATAACAAAATCATACACAGTATGAATGTACCTTCTCACAGTATATAGTTACTTCTAAATCTTAATAAACATCTTCGAAACATTTCTCATATCAGAATTTGCAATTCCTTTGATCTGATTTGAAAAAAAACAACAAACATTTAAACTTCAAATAAAGTGATAAATCATTTTGATACTGTCTCAAGTATCTGTATATTCAATTAAATGACATCATTAAACTTCTATTTTATCTACGATGTAAAATAAGTGAACATTTCAAGTGTGTGATTACATGTACACATAAAGCTGCATATACCCCTTAACACATCATGTCTTAACTATGCTAAACATTACACTATGCCGAGGAACACTACATGTATTACTTTTGTTGGAATGATTAAATAACTCATGGAATATGTTTTTTTTTTTCTATAGGAAATGTTTAAGCATGGCCATTGGACAATGAGAAATCAAAATTTCTCTTTTCAATATAAAAAATCATTTTCAAGAAATGTGCAAGCTAGCTGGTTCAAACAGCTGCAAGAGAGCCATAATAGCTGTTGAGCGCTCACCTATACAGACTGCATCAGCTTAGTTGTATAGTGTGTATGTTTATTTTGAAATTAAGCCAGTATACAGAAATATATGGGAAACAAATTCTGACCACTGGGGACTAAAGTATTATTGTGTAATTGACAGATTACTGTTATGTTTTCTGTGCAAGTCCAAGCAAAGTACCTATATACTAAATATCAAGATATCAGTCAAGAAATGCTGGCTATATTTTTTGATAGAAGACAAATATATATATAGCTTTAGCGACCTTCACCTTAGTGAATGACTGCAAGGTGTTGGTAAATCATATTACTAATGTTTTAGTCCATACATAACGGCTCAAAAATTGAAACATCTATTTTTTGTCTCAGTGACCTTAACCTTGACACAAATAACCTCAGATTTGTATACCAGTAAAAGGTGTTGTGATCTGCAAAGAGCTTTACAAAACTCTGCTTATGAAAAAAACAAACAACAAAGGTATATTTCTTAAAATCACACTTCTTAGTATCATATTTTGATATAAAAATGTTTTGGACAAAACAATTACACTGTGTGTTACACAAAGAGGAAAATGAACTGTTATGTAAGTTTAAAACATACAAAAATATTAAATAGAATGTACATCGCTACATTACAAATAAAGCTAAACAAAAAACAACAACAAGAAAACACTTCAATACCATCATTTTGTTAATGAAAGTAAAATAAAATATGTAAAATGATTAAACAAAGTTATCATATGTTTTTAAAATATAATATACAATAATTATGCAAGTGTTTCATTAAAAGCTAAGCATCTTAAAGCTGGGTTTAATATGAAATGTTCAAGAAAATTGAAGTACACATTTTATTATAAGTTACAAGCTCACATGATAATAGAAGAAGCTAGTATCTAAACTATTTTTGCGTGCATATTACATGTATTTCATATTTTATTTAACTATTGTATACATTAAAATATCGACAAATTTTTAAAAAAAAAAATCCTATTTTTTTTTCAATTAGCTCTAGAAAAATCCATTTGTCTTTTAACTAGATTTGTGCTAATAAATTTTAACATTTTAACAACATGATTTTTTTTTTACACCATAAAATCTCTATTGACATCCATGTGCTTGTATTTTCATGACCCATATTTTGCCCAATTTCAAACCTGTCAAAATTGAGCAATTATCCAAGCCCTGTTACTTCTGCCCTTTCTAGTCATATAATGATTGGGTAAATTTTCACACTTAAATTGAGTTATATTATCACAGTTTCTTAATTTTACAGTATATTGACAAAATATATGTGATACATATTATTAATGGAACTGTACCTTCACACACTTATTTATTCAATCCTGCTCAAGTTCAATTTCAGCTATACAAAATCTTGTTCTGAGAAGTACATTTATACAAAAAAATAAAAAATAAAATAACATCAGTCAATGTAAGTTATTCAATGCATATGATAGTTCAAAATGTACATTAAACATGCTAAGACCCTAGGGACCAGCCTAAATGGTCTTAAAAAACTAGTACCACCAGACATGCATTCCTAACACTAGTATCAAAGTTATGTAGTGATTCCATGATTCTTGTTCACATATATGTACAAGTTAAGTGTTAATTGGAACATACATTCACTTTTCTAAACCAAAATGCTAAAAAGTCCTTATCATTTAAGTCCATTTTAAACAAAATAGATTATTGGTTTTTATAAACAAAAATTTAACACTGTTCAATCAGTAACTTATAACTGTCTACCCTAAACAGACATGTAAATCATGTAAATAAGTTATAACGACATAAAATTGTGTTTTCTTTTAATATGTAGTATATATCTGAAGAGTAAATGATAGAATGGTAACTGTTAACATTTACCTTATAATTAACCAATGGTTTAAATATTCTATATTCAGTTAAGTTTTGAATGACCTATTTTCTTTAGCGAAAAAACTTACTTCGAAAATTCCCTAATACAATTCAAATTCAGCAAATCATCGGTTACATTAATAATGTCAAAGTGGCTTTATATGTATTATATCATTATTTATAATCAAGAAATAAAATAATCTAAATGTAAACATATTTAAATTACTAATCTCTAAGTGCTAAGTCTGTAATAATAATTGAAAAATTAGTGTTCTTTACGATAAAATAAATATTTATTTCAGTAATTTTGCAGGTTAAGGTGAATGTTTTATTGTCCTATATATGATTGTCTAAGTGAGGGGGGGGGGGATAGTTTTATTCTGTCTTTAATTAAATATCATCACTAATAAATCAATAAATCTACATGGCTAAAACATGTTCTTCCCCATCTAATATAACCATAGTCACTATCAATTTACATTATATCATCATATGATTTTTTTTCCCCTTAACTTTTAATATGTAGTTTCTAACTGTTTTTAAGCTACAAATATTAACTTCTTGAAAAGTTCAGCAATTAAGTTTTTTTTTCAATCATGTAAAAACAGGCTGGAGAGACATTTTTAGTTTTATCTTCATCAGTACTGGAATGTTTTTGGAATGAACTTTTTCAACTGCTTTCTTTTAATATTACAGCTTTTGGTTACAATTCATGACCAGCTAGTAACTGTTGCACAATTACAGACATAAAGAAGCATGATTAGAGAAACATGTACACTATTTACATGTAGCAATGTGAACACATTCTAACAGTCATTTCTTACCATACATTATCATTATAACATGTAACATTGCACGTTTTTATGAATCAGGAAACTATATTCATCTCAATGCTGTTAACTGTTTTCCCTAATTAGTATATCATAATGTATCAAGTTTTTTTTCACTAATAATAAGCAACATAATTATGTTTTATCAAAGTGACTTTATGAAACAGGCTCATCTTGATTTCCATTTAACCTAATGTATTATTTATATTTTATATAGACATAGAAATATTGACTGAATTTAACAGCAACTAGTATTGATTCATATCCAGTAAGTGTGTAGTTTATGTAACTAAAACAAAGCAAAACATTTGACAATATTATGTGATAAACCTACTTTAATTCTATTTAATTTTTTAAAATGAAGTATGTACATGTAGCTTAAAGATTATATTGATACTATAAACAAATAATCACTGAACACTGAGTTTATAACTTCAAAAAAAATTGATTAAATTCTATCTAAATTGATAAATTCAAACAAGTAAACCGTCACTCCCACAACATGCATGTGAAAATTACTGAGCTGGAGTTTATTAAAAAAAGATTCCCTTGAGAAATTACACCATCTAGCTATGCTTCTTATGTAAAAATATATTTTCTATTATTCAATATTAAATACTATAAAAAACAAATCTTCTAAGTTCTAATAATGTAAATATAGCACATTTTCTATTGTGTTGAGTTTAACTTGCAATACAGCATACTTTTGTCTATCTACCCTTATACAGAATCTAAGGTATATCCCTGACACTTGTACATTTTGTTTTTATCTCACAGTTTCTGGCCCTTTCTGATTAAGTTAGTCTTTCTCTTTGAGAAAATATTTGAACCATACAGCTTTGTTAATATATTAATATTATACATTCTGATAGAGTAAAAGGTACAGTTATCATACACTTCTCAAAATAAGGATAAATCTTTATAGGGCATCATTTCTTCTAATACAAATTACACTTAACCTAAATATGTTTAATGCACATTTAAGATCTTCGTAATATATTTATTACATTCAATTTCTCCTGTAATAACAACATCTGACTTCCCAGTAAAATATAAAGATTTGTATCAAATTTCGAGTTGTATATAATACTGTTTATTCGTTAAACAAGCTTTTAATTTTCCTTGTAAATTCTGAAGAAAAACAAAAAGTTGATGTCATTGATGAAAGTGTTATGGTATCTTGCTTCAGTAAGCATGCACTGAAATAACCTCGGCCAGCACTTGCTGTTATATAACACACGTCATATTATGCCTACATTGAATATGTCATCTTTATTATGATCTTATAATGTATAAATACATTCAGTGTTTATTGAGACACATAGTATTCCATATATTGCATATGAATGTATATAATAACACGCACTAGAACTGACTACACATCAAAACAGCATATCTGCCTTATCTACTTCCGCTGAGAAAGCATCGAGTTCATTGTCGTCTGCTGGTAACAAATCTATACCCTCCGAATCATCCTCCGGCTCGGCAATACTGTAGGCAATTTCTGGCTCCGGCTCTGGTGTCATACCAAACTGGAAGTCTAGGGTCTGCATTTTTGACTTATAACTAGTTAGGCCACCTGAAGTCAAGCAGAAGTTCTCATTTTATAAAATATATCAACACAGTTATATAAATGTATAGTATGGTCACAAACAAAATTATGCCTCATTTTGTATTTCCAACTTGCCAAAATAGGTTAGCCAAACCTATATACAAAGTGCAAAATGCAGAAAATAACTTCATTTACTTGGAAGAATTTATATTCTGTAACTTATAGCTTTCATTTCGGTCAGAAGTGGACATAATATGAAGCCAGTTGATATGATATTTCCAACATGCTATAATAGGTTAACCAAAACTATTTCCTAGTGCGATAAAGGGAAATAATGAGATGTTATACTTAAATGGTCTAAGGGGCTTTTTCTTATTTTCCTTTGTTAAATAGAGGTGGGCCATGGCCCCTTATTCTACTGTAATGAAATAAAACATAATATTTGTCATTTCAGTGCCCCTTAACATTGCAGGCTGAGAATGTGATAGGAAAACGGTTCAATTTTGATATGCCAGAGGCATAAAAAATGTAAATCCCACAATCTGTATTTATGGTAATATTAAAGTAGTTCAAAAGGGCATATTAATAAAACAAGGCTTTTTGTATCTTACAATAAATCAACTATAATACATATAAACATTATGTGTACCATGCATGAACAGGCTTGTGGTAGGTATCAATAAATTATGAATCATATCCAACAAGTGGTTACAATGTTAATGCAAATATTCATACTCACTAACTCAGGTTAGAATGTACTCTGGTCTCTTAATTTTACATTTGTTATAAATATAATTAATCAACTACAGATTTAATGACCACTCCCTTTCTTTCCTAACACTGATTTAAATCAAGTAACTTTAATGCAGTCAATCAGAAATTAAGTATATGTATCAGTCACTTATATATAATAAATATAGAGCTAATTCTGTATTACTGTTGTCAATATAGGGTGACGAGAACAGACAACCTATACTTTGTGAATAGTCCAGTTAGAAAGACAGTTTTTGACTTTAATCAGCACCATCCCTTGAAGTTAAATAACAAAGCAGCCCAGAATAATAAAGAGGCTAAGCACTTGGATCTCATCCTTACAGTGTGCAGGTAACAGATGTAACTTTCCTCTTTGCCCTCTCTTTGTTCAATATACAACATCTGCTGGATTTAAAACACATCTGACACAGACTAATTCATGCACTATGCAACCAATGAATTTAACCTCAGGTTTTAAGGTTACTAAAGTTTCTCATTACTACAGCTCATGCATAAGCTTTTAAGCGTTCTGTTGGAAAAAGCTACTGTACATGTCCTTAGGTAGTTAATCAAATCTCAGATGTAAATGAAGTGGCCTGAAATGGGAACTTTTGTTTGGAACAACTGGGCATGAGTAAAACTTTTCACCACATGGAACAGATGTCGACTGATTTCAGGTAAAAGTCTTAAATGCAGACAGGGTAACTTATTAGAAATTTAATTCTCCTTCACAGGTTTGTGAATATTACAGAATAAATAAATCTACTATTTCCTATCAGTTCCCATAGCCACCTACTAGTATTTCCTATCAGTTCCCATAGCCACCTAAGTATCTGTAAGTGCATTCGGCCAGAGGGATAGACAATTCAATTACTATATGTGCCTACAGTTTAAGCATAAAAAGCAGAATAGACTGAAAAACAGCGACTATGTGCACCATCAAATTTTCAAACAAAACTTTCAATGGTGGTGATAGGCAAAAGGTTGTTTATCAAAACCATTTACAAAAACACAAAAACCAATGTTTTTACAAGTGTAACATACCTCCACCAGTGCCTAACACTGTGTTGGATTTCATGTGAGTTTCTGGTTCAGATGGGGGAACAGGTTCATCTATTGTATCAGAAACACCATTCACTATACTCTCATTCTCTGCCAGATCTTTCTCGTCAGGGTGTTCCTGTAGGTATGTCTCCAAGGCCGCTTCCTCACCCTCGTACTCAAATGTAGTTGTAGCATGGTCATCAAACGAGATCTTCACCTTTAATAAAAGAAACAATGCTATAGTCATTAGGAAAAACGAGAACAACTACAATGATGTAAAATTTACATGGGGATATTAATATTTGTAATGGTTATGCTGACAGACTCTTTTTGTAAACAGCAGTGCCTTGTAGTTCAGCTTTCTCCAGTAACTGAAAGATAGTTATTTTACTTTTAAGACTGCCATCACCTTTCAAATAACACCTGTAGAACAAATGCATTTTCATTATTGCAGATTCAACTCTAATACTATGCTATGAACTTATTCATTATTTAATCTGGACAATTTTAAGGAAAATTTCAAAATAATTACTGACTTAACAGGGACACCATGATCAGATGGCAAGGATCTGTACTGGTCTGCATGGGTAAAATAAGTTGCCGCTAGCATGGTAAGATTTAATATGTAACTAAAAATGGCTGTCTTGTTTTACATTGCTACTCATTCGTTATTTATATACTATATTTATTCACTATTTGTCCTACATACATTGAAGTATTGTTTGTTCTATTCAACATAATTGATATCAATTTGACCACCATATAGCATACTGACATATATCTTAGCAACACAGATATTCTGAACTTAAATATCAAAATCATCAGACAAATTCTGTAACCATTAAATCCCTATCATTATAGTTGACTTTTATTTACTAGAGTACTTAATCGACCAAATTGATATTATCATTTTGTTCACTATCTTAAGAGATCTTTTTTCATTATTTTTCATTTCAAAACATTTTAATTTATTATAACTTCACAATCCATTGATTTTGTGTCAGTTTGTTAACTTAAGTACATATATTATGAAAATTATAGATAAAATCTGTACATGAAATAAGTATGTCTATGCCTTGCGAATTTGTTTAACTTAGTACATAATATATAATTATTGATAAAGCTGTACATGAAAGAATTATAAATGTCTAAGTTTGTTATATAGTTTGACATACGTATTTACATTTACACAATGAGTTTGTTAAATAAGCACATATGAAATTATTTATAAAATCTGTACATGAAATAATTATGTCGATACGAGTTGTTAACTTACCACATACAAAATTATTGATAGAAATCTTTACACAAAATGATTATGTCTGTGCATGTTTTTTTATTTGTTAACTTACATTTAGCACATAAAAAACTATTGATAAATCTACTGATAATAAAATCATTACAGGAAATCTGTATGTGGTGTATGGTTCATATGCCAGGAAGGACACAAAAATCAGCTTTCTCTGTTGAGCACGGACCCTACCAGTCATGCCCTTAAAGGGTTAATTTTGAAGCACAAAGTGTAATTTTCACAGAGTATTAGCTTTTGAGCACTGTACTGCGGCCAATGGCAACCTAAATGTACAGCAACCTGAGAGATTACAGGAAATCACAATCATGCAGTAGTTATATTATAGGGGACAGTGTCCAGCAGTTCTTATATATATTATCAATGCTGTTTCACACATTCCTCTGGTTTCCGACTCAATAATTGAAATGATGTGCTTCCAAGCCACAGTATAATAGAGCCTGAAAGTCAATATTCTGAAAACTAACAACACAAGGTTAACATCTAGGACAAACTGCTCATTTAACACAAAAACTCAAATAATCTAACATTGAATGAGGTGGGGTTTTACATACATCATTAATCCCTGGTCTACCAGTTATCCTCATTCTTTTCACAAGTCTACAACCACAGATTTCACCAACATTTTCCACCATACAGCCACACTGTTTCAACTGGTCTTTTTGTTTGAACATACATTTGTTGGTATAATTATAGTTTTCATAAGAACTTTTTTCACTATCAGTTTTAATTCCAACAGTGGTAACATCCCATGATTGTTTACTGCTAAAAATCTTTGACAATAACATCTTATCCAATTCTATAATGATTTTATTTAACAATATACAATATACTAATTTTGGTTATATAATTCAATATTGAAGATGGTTCACACAGCCAATATAAAATGGTTTTGTATGACGGCAATGTGCTTCTACGTCAGTAACAATAATGTGACCAGGTAGCCATGGAAACCAAATAAAAGGAAAATTCCATAAAAAAATGATAGTATAGTACAGATACAATCAACTTAAGACTTTAATCACTCATTCCAGCTTATTCTATTTATAGATTCAAAGACAATGAGGCAATTACTACACTGACTAATGACAAGGGGGTAGGGGTGGGAAATGACACTAAGTAAGGACAAGGGTGAGTGAAGGGGGAAGGGGATGGAAAGCAAAAAAAACATTACCCTTAATTACCCTGAAATTATTAGTTAGGAATACATAAAGTTCAGACTGATTAACAACCAACTTCTCCATATACATGAACAGTTTTCAGTTGAGGATATGTAACAACAAACACTATATCATTAACCAAGCCACAATAGAAAAAAAACCAAACCACAACTGAAACTCACCCTATAGCTTATGTTTTAATCACACTGTTTAATTGGACAAATCTGAAAGTTGCTTGCTTACAGGCAATTATAAATATTTTTTTTTAGATCCTAAGCCTGCATTTGCCTAACAGAGTTAACCTGCTTTGAATTTGGAACAGTTCATTCAAAGTAAATCTGACCAGCAACAAAGTGGACTTAAAAATGACACAAATTTAAAATCATTATCAAGTATGATTTTACTTCCCTGACTTTAATATAACAATATTTGAAGACTACCTGTACTTCACTACTATGGCTGCCATCACTTTCTGTTTGTATAACTTCATCATCAGTTTGAGGTTCCGGTCTTTCCTCATAGAAAGATATTCGTGTAGCCACCAAACTATTTCTTCTAGGATATCTACTCTGAGTCAATGATTCTTTCACTGTTACACTTGAATCACTAGTAAATCCTACTTTCTTTTTAACAGGAAGTTTATTTCTCGGACCACTGGCCGAGTCCCAGATTAACTTGCACTGGTTCCTAGCAGACTGAGGATCAAACATGGGACCTGATTTCATTCGCATCATGTTCAATCATTACTCAGACACTTTAGACTTTAATAAATCCAACATGTAAATAAAAAATTTACTAATCAACCTTTAAAGTGTGGCTAATCTTTGCTTTTCTTACTTTCAAATGAATACTAAACCAGAATTTTTTTAAACACAAAAAGGTCACCATTTCTCTATAATAATTCTTGTTTTAATCCATTTGTATACATCTTATGAATTTATGACTAAATCTTTAATGTTTCACTTTCAATTGCTTAAAATCATTTGTCAATAACATTTCGATTCTGAAAAACAGTAGAATTTTTTACCTGTCATAACAGGTTATTTATCAAACACAGTATTTTTGTTATCATTGGCTACACAGAAGGAAGTATCGTTCCAAGATAACCTCACCAAGACAAGGGTTATCAGTGTGTCTATAAAATATTTAAAATTCAACACTTTATAGTTTCATGTAATGCACTATTCTTGTTAAAGATAACAGTCTAAATATCATTTTTTTCTCTCTAAGTTTGAAGAACTTGATTGCTATGAAGGTATTAACAATATTTTATTACTTGAACAAATGTTACCAGACAGAACAGATATTAAACTCCATTTTCTTTGTGCACAAAACAACAATATAATCTATATAGTTGTTACTCCATATTGTCTTCAATTCCAATCATTTTGCTTAAACATTTAGATGCACTGTCAATTAAGCCATTCAATTAACTGAATGATGAAAATACATTGTCAGAAATATTTGCATCAAAACAGACTACTGAATTTCTGTTTTCTTTTGTCAATCCTTGTACAAGTACGTCCCCATGTATTTTCTCAGTTTTCTTTTAAGCTCTGCATAAAATATCTCCGCAAAATGAATGTAATTGTAGTGTAATTCAGTACAAAGATGAAAAACCTCAATTGTAATACACTTAAAACCTGACGACAATTTAGCCAGTTTCAGGTAAAATGAAACAACCATCAAAATGATGGAAAAAACAAACTGTTATCGGCACATTCACAGTTGATACAAGGTATGGGAAGCAATTTGTACAACCTATGAACCATGCATCGCTAATTGTATTTGTGCCTGATATCGTCATCATGTCACTATATTTATAATTTCACAGGATGATATGACTTTACCTAAAGCTGGGTGACTGCATTCAAGTTATATTTATACATTAAAATATTAGAATTTTAGAACGTATTGAATCTATACAGTAAGTAATTAAAGTAATTGAATGTAGTTAAAATTGGTTACAGGGCAAATCATGTCAATTTTTTAGCTCTATCTAAGCCTTTAGAATAGTTGTTCATTACTGGGTTGCCTTTTTAAGAGAAAATAAACCTACCTGAGTAAAGGGCATGAAGAATTCTTCAATAAACAAGAAATAAAACATGAGGTTTATTTGTCTTAAGATTTACCGTGATAAAATTGCTCAACTTAAGACTGTTACATTTACACGTAATTGTTTATAGATTTTATAGTCACATGGTAATAAAAGATGAACAAGGGTAATTATGACACCCTGGAACACTTGAAATACGTCATTCACACACTACTTCCATATGGTCATGTACAAGTCTTGATTTATAGTCTTATTATATTATATTTTTCTTCAGAAATTTCTGAAAAATAACCTAGACAAAGCAAACTGATCTGACCAACAACAGGCTGACTCTTGTATACCACCACACACCTTGTTAATGTCTGGGGTATAAAAATACCTCAGGTACAAAACGTAAATTTTGTAAGACTCAAATTTTACTTTAATTTCAAATGTATACCATATTTCTCCTTATATAGGGCCAATACAAATTGCCAGATGGGTGTTTTTATTTGAGACCAAGTTAAAAAAAAATATCATTAGGTACATGTGTGGATAAATAAACTGTTAGTTGAAAAAGTTGTTTTACATTTTTTAATTTTCAAGGTATGCTGAAACAGACATCACCCACAACAAATGAAAAATTGTAAAGTGGGGCTGATACAAGGAGGGGGCTTATATTACAAGAAATGTGGTATTCTAACACATATAAT